CCATTACGACATGAAGACATTTACTTCTGCCCACAACTAGCTAGAATTTTACTGAACTGCTACGTTCAACTGAGGAACCAATAGTCCTCTAAACTTTCTATAATCCTGAACCCTCATTGGCCAACGCTTCCAGATGAGCTGTTCAGAATAAGCAGCTGCCTCTCAGGCCACCTGGTTTATTTACTTTCTAGAGCTGCTACTTCAGACTCTATAATGTCTCAGCTACAATTAAAAACACCAATTGTTCTGCTGTTGGCTGCTAGAGTGAACACAAGAGTTTTCATGCACTCCCAGCATCTGTGGAAGTGAAGATGCAGTAGTTTATTTTTATTGTTGATGACAATGTCTCCACAACAATTAGAAAACCCTTAGTGCTAGCGCATTGTGCTGCTGATGTGTCACCATTGGCTTTGATCGTATGACAACAGGTCAGAGCTCTGCAGAAACTGTAATGGTGAGGAACACATCTTATGTCGCCTGTCGTGGTTCAGTGCAACCTAAGTTTAGCCAGTGTTTACATCTGGTTTCTTCTCTCATTGCTCTCTGTGCTCACATATGCTGCATTTGCAATTAAGCAAAATTCCCATTAAAGCAGCTCTCATTTGAATATGTTTGTTTGTTGTCAGACAACATAACAAGTATAAAATATTAACTGAAATGCAGCCTATTAAGACTATGTTACCCAGCAGTCACTTGAGCTGCGCTGTTAAACTACTAGTTTTATAACCTCAACATCATCTGACAAACAAACTCAACATACACACGAGTTAAGAACAACGGCTGAGCTTTGACTTTGGGGATATTTTCATGTAAAACGATCACTTGGAGAGGAGAACTTAGACTCAAAGTCCTGGTCTCACACAGTCATTAGCATCGGTGTCATCTGCAGAGAGAGTCTCTTTCCTGAAGGGTTTGTTGACAGCAGCCGCTCGGATGCATTTAAAGCTACAGACACTGAAACAGCCCCTTTTAGAGCAGGCAGCCATGGTAGAATGAACCATCACTGCAGTATTTTGACCTTAAAAAACTGAAAGACACATTCTGAGAACATGTGAGACTTGGATCAAATCGGGACACAATGTGGGACCTTTAAAAAGGAAGCAGAGAAAAGTCCTATTGTGTAGTTTGATCCTGGCTTGAATCCTCTCTGATCTGCTTGCATTGTTCTTGCTCCCCTGTACTGATGTTCCTCACACTAAACAAAACCTCTCTTTGCAGGCGGACAAGACAAACAGCCGAATGCGTCAGCTGAAGCGTCAGCTGGAGGAGACGGAGGAGGAGCTGACGAGAGCCAACGTCTACCGCAGGAAGCTGCAGAGGGAGCTGGAAGACGCCACTGAGTCAGCAGACGCCATGAACCGTGAAGTCAGCACTCTGAAGAGCAAGCTGAGGTAGAGGAGACTCACATTTATAAATCCACAGGGGTCCGAGTGCATAGTAGTTTTATTTTTCAAAGTGAGGAGTAAAGCATTTAGTAGGTTAAAGGGGGAATTACATCAATTTTGCACGTCAAAATAGTTGATTACAGTAATGACTTCTGTGGCTCTGGAGGAATCTTTGTCAAGTCATGGCAGGAAAAGTGCCCTGAAAATAAAACTGAAATAATTTGCATAGTGACAAGTGTAGGAGTTTTTGGGACTTGAGCCAATCTAGCGACTAAATGTCAAATTTAAAGCAGCACATGAGATCTCGTGCCAACAATCTGTCACGAGTCCCAGTAGTGCAGCACGACATCGCTGTTAATGAGTCAGCAGGCAGCTATAGTCCCTTGTTCAATAACATTGTGTGGCTCCTCTTTTCTACATGTGTGCAGTATTTGTGCTGCTCCTGACTGTGCTTAAATGGTTTGTTTTAAAGACGTGGGGACCTGCCTTACAACATGCGGCGCGCCTTGAATCGCACCGGCCTGGACAGCGACGAGGACGGAGAAGTTGTGACTGAGACTGCTGAGCCTGCAGCCGAGTAAAGAGGAAGAGGAAGAGAGTCAAAAGGGAAATATTTTAACGACCACATACAAATATAGTAAAACGATCAAAGATTTAGCCTTCATTCTCTTTGTTTCTTTCCATTTCATGCATTTATATTTGGCCAAATCTTACTCACCTCTGGCAACGTCAGCAATGTTTTTCTACTCTCTAAGGCTTTAAAAAAATATTTCTCTTGGTCTATTTTTCTACTTAAGGGTGTGTTATATCATGCAACATCGCTCCTGCGTCAAGCCATCGCAGCTTAATTTTGCTCGGGCTTGAGGTTAATGTGCTGTTTACTGTTTTTTTGGAAAAACACTGGTCATTTTATGCTCGTTTTGCACACAGATGTGTTTTTTCTGGGACTTTTGATGCAGTTACAAACAGTAGTTCACATTTGCTGGTGTCAGTATGAATCTCTATGTCTGTACTGTTTTGTCTTTTTAAAACTTTCACTTTTATTACCTCAACCAAAAATCGCACAACTCAGACAAAACAAACAACGTTGAGAATTGTTGCATTCCTTACAGTGGTTTCGGTAAAATGCAGAACTATTGGTGAAAGTGTTTGGTACAGATGTTGCTTGATCGTCTGACAGCTTGGTTGATGTATCCTCTCTCACTGGTTTTACACTTTATTAACTACTGGTGGTGGGTCATCATGGGGTAGCTCGCTGTGCTGTGCTTTGCTTTCCACAGCACGACAGATAGGGGTTTGTATTGCTGCATTAGTCTCCAAATGTTAAATCCAGTATATTTTAGGCAAATATACCCTACCACTGTATTATCCAAAAAAAAAAAAAAAAAGTCTGTCCTCGATGCCAACCTTGTAAGGCTGTTCTGTATTTTATAAAATGCCTTAATGCAATAAATAATATAAAATGCAGCTGACTTCTTTGTCTCATTTTTGAAAGGTTTGGGTTTAACACATGCTTTTCTTTTCTACACAGCAAACCTGCACTGTAGCCAAACAAAACGTGAAATTGGCCAAAATTAGCAAGAAATTGTGCCGCTCCAGTGTGAGTAATAATCAGAGCCTGGCCACCCCTTAAAAAAAAAAAAAAGTTTGACTCTGCCACAAATCATTCCTCACGTCTTTATGCCGGGTTGGGAAGAAATTCTTCCCTCGAGCCATTTCAGTGTAAGTTAATGGAGGACAAAACCTGTTTGACGGATCAGCAAGTCGCAGTTACACAAATCATGTGTCATGACTGCGTTGTTGTGATTCATGATCCGTGTCCTTCACCAGAATTGAGCCCATGAATGATGTGAGCCAGGTGTGACTGTGCAGGTAAGCGGCAGCCATCGGTGGATTAACTGCCGGCCTGCAGGTGATTGGCTCCTGGGTGATGACAGCAAACGACAGAAGGAGCCAACATGTAAGAATCAGTCATCTTCTCTTCCCAGCAGCTCCACCCTTACTTACATCCTTGTGTACTTGTAGCTTTTGCCCTACTTTGTTAATCGGTTCTTAGGGGTGGGTAGCCATTTTGTTTTTTTGTTTGATTTTAGTTAGATTATCTTGTTAATGTTTCCCAGATGTATCTGATGGTTATTAAGGCCTTTGTCCACTGAACCTAAATCCAACTCCTATATGTGTACTCTTAAATATATAGTCAATAAATACACCTATCATCAAATCTCAGTGTCTTCTCAGGAGAAGATGAGTCACTTTCTTGTCTTGGTCACTCCTAGACACATGCACCTTCCAAACAGTTATTTTAGAAGGTTAAATATTCCCCCTTTTTTTGTTATTGAGGGAATGATCCTTTATGAAGGTTTTCTTTTCTTTCCCTTAATTGCTTTAAAAGAGAGACAACTTTACATGAGGTTACAATTTCCTCTTCTCTGTCCTTCTCTATTGGCTACTGCAAAGAAAATGTCCACGGAAAGATACTGGTACTAAATATCAGGAGAGGTCTTCAATGTCAGTAATGATGGGTGTCCTTGAGCTGTAAAACTTAAGATGCTGAAGTTAAGGGAAAAGTTAAGGGAAATTTAACAGATTCTTGTTTCCCCCGATGTAAAATCATGTTAGACATCTGAGGTAAACCCTTAAAGCTGTCTGAAACCCACTCTCAATTTTGTAAAACCATTATTCTACATGTAAAAACAGAAAAGGGAGATTTAACTGCTTTATTTCTTATATGTAGCATGGTCTGCATGTAAAAAAAAAAAAAAAAGAGAAATTTGCCTTTTTTTAATTTTTATTTTCATTGAATAAAGGTTTCATGAATCAGAAACTGTGTTAGTCTTTCAAACATATATAGTTGTTTTAAATCTAGACCTGTCTAATGTGGTCTACATGTGAAAAGACACTGTGAAGTCCCCCCTTAGAATAAAGGTTTTAGAAATCATAAACTGTGCTTCAGAGTCTTTATCCTCTCTGCCACGCTCAAGTTCTGATTTCACCTGTCTATATATAGTGGGTTTGTATCTACACCTGATCTAATTTGGTCAACATGTGAAGGAAAACAGTGAAATGTACTTTTTATTATTATTTCATTATGAATAAAGGTTTCATGGATCTGAAACTACATTTTAAATACTTCTTTGCCTCTGTGCCACAGCCTAGTCCAGATTTCACCTATTTGTCTATAGTTGTTTTAGACCTGGTCTAATGTGATCGACACGTGGGGGAAAAAAACAGTGAAATCTCTATTTTAAGCATTTGCACAAATAGAAAAAGGTTTCATAAGTCAGAAACTGTATTTAAAAGACTTTTCAGCCTCTCTGCAGAAATCCAGCCCAGATTTCACTTGCCTACTCTTAGACATTTTTGAACAGCCCTTTCACTTAATTTTAACTTTCAGTTTTCTTATCTGAATCTGACTTCATCTCTTTAAAATTACACTTTCAGTTTCTGTTGGTCTACAGCGCCACCCTGAGGCCATCATCAGAAATGCACCGCACACATGCGCTGGTTAGTTTTCTACAAAATAAACTAAAATTACACAATAAACTCCATATTGTAGACATGTGAATCTCTGTGCAGATGTAGATGCGGCACACTGACCTAATGCCATCACTGACTACACAAACTGACGCACCGTTCGTGTGTAGCTGTGATGCTGTGTGAGGTTGTGTTGCAGCACAGAGATGTGTGTCTCCGCTGCCCTGAGCTGAACTTATAGCCAGATGCTAACAATCGCAGCAGCCCGGCAAATAGCACCACGTTAGCCAGATACTTCTTACTGCAGTTTAAAATTCTCATTGAAAGAAGAAAAGACAACATTTTTGGACACAATTCACGCCGGAACACGTTTGCGTTAACGACGTGTTATTTTAGTTGAGCGGCAACTTAAAGTTAAGTAACTTAGTGAAGTGAGCTAGCTAACGTTAGCTAACTAGCCTCGCCAGAAAGTTCTGTGTTGCTGGAAGTTTCAAGGTTTAGTGACGATAGCATGTTAGGAAACGTTCATAGACAGTTACAGTAGATACAGAACATGGGGTTTGTGAAGCTAGCAGGAGCGACCATCACCTCCGCCGGTCCCTAACACACTTCAACATCAGGTAAGAGGAGCTAGCATGCTAAGTTAGCTTGCTAGCAAGTCGAGCGATGTGTCAGGCAAACTTCTGCTACATGTAGCTTATCTGAAACCAGCTCGTTGACAGGTTGTATTGCTTTTTGTTTTAACCAGTCACTCGTCGCTAGTTATCTGAATTAGACAGTCGGTTTTTAAAGGTTACCCTGCCCTCAGAGGCTAATGTCATACTAACTTCACCTCTGACAGCTAACGAGCTAACCTAGCTCGCTGCTACCGGCGAGACCTTGCGAGCGACCTCATTGTTGTGAAATATGACTCATGGCTGTCATCTTGATTTTTTCACATTTTTAAGTATCGTTGGCTGAACCGAACCGGCTTCAAAACGGCAACAGCAACAGCAGCAGGGGAGAAACTGGACCGGTCCGGCTCAGCATCCAGCTCAAAGATGGAGTTAGCAGCGGTGAGTGATGCCAATGTCACCACACAGGCTGAATGTGACAGGATATATTAAAGCTTATTTTATTAACACTCATCTTCTGATACAAATAAAACATTGTGAGTGAGGATATCCGTGTGTGTTAAACCAGCCATTTTAATACTGTTTAAGAGTGTGTGTGGAGTTCTGCACTTAATAATATCCTCTTAATGTAAGTGATGTAATGTATGAGAGAAATCAATCAAGAACAACAATATAGAGCAAATATGCCAAATGGAAATGTCTATTTCTGTCAGTTCCAATAAATTAAATACCTAAACACACAATCAAAATCATATTAATTACAGAAAGAGATGCTCACTGACTTCCAGTTGCCCCCATTGGAGTTAACATGCAGATGAATTCAAGGGATTGTTATTATGGTATAAATAGTGTGCAAATTCCCTCATAGTAGAAACACTGACATTGTTTGACAAACTATATCTCATGATGCTCCTCCTTTTTAAAAAAAAAAAAAATAGTAGGACTTACAGGGTAACAAACTGTGGCATTAACACACAGTCCTCGTTTGGATTCACATATTAGGAGCCTCTCTGCTGGCAGCGGTAATGAGGAAGCAAACTGTGTGGGAAAATTGTGTTGCCGCCTCAGAGGAATCCATGATTGTAAGTAGATTCGTAGATGGCTGCTTAACAGCTTGTGCAAATAGACCCCTACTCCATACATTATCTGTGACCCACATTTAAAGTCCACACAGACACACACGCGCACGCACACACACAAACACAAACACTTTGTGACTCATACCATTTGACAAAGGCACAATTTTGCAGTGAGCTTTACGGAAGAGGGGGAGCAAAATACAGATGTGTGAGTGTGTCTCTGAAAGATAAAGATAGAAGCTTCATAGAAAAACGCAGGCTGGATTAAGCTTGGCTGCGAAACTCGGGGGGGAGGGAGGACGAGAGGCAGGAGAAAGCCATTGTGGGTTGGCGAGTGAGAAGGAGAGATAGTGTGAGAGGGAGAGAAGGAAGGTTAGTGAGAGAGATGGAGGTTTATTTTGTAATATGCCATTTGTAAGAGCAGCATCACAGAGACAGGGAGGTGAAAAAGGGCAAAATGCAGGAAAAACAGGATTCTCAGAGCCGAGCCCCGGGCAGCCTGGGGAAGGTAGGAGAGTGTCTTATATATATATATGTGTGTGTGTGTGTGTTTAAGTGGCACGTGTGGGCAAAAGCAACAGAATATAGTGTTGTTGAATGTTTATAGCAGACTGCACATGGATGGTTTGTTGGTATAATTTATGGTTTTTGCATTGCGATGGCTGTTTTTTTCCCGTTTACATATTATTCTGCGTAACTGTTTACCTTCACATGCAGCTAATTTTAGCGTCTGTCTGCTCGTGTCTGTGTGCCATGCTCTTACTGGCTGTTTGTCCACGAGGCATGTACCCACAGATAATGTTAAGTCTCAGTTTAATTCTACCCAACAGCCCCTGTGTGTGTGTGTGTGTGTGTGTGTGTGTGTGTGTGTGTGTGTGTGTGTGTGTGTGTGTGTGTGAACTGTCTCTCCACATCTCCGTCATCTCCACTGTGTAGGAACCTGGTTTCTGCTCTGCGCTACAGGGTTCTTACAACCGAAATGTCACACAAACATGTTATGTTTCTATGTTCTTATGTGACTTGTTTCTGCCTCTTTTATGTGTATGAAGTCTTGTGTTTTTTGTTTTTATTATTCTAGTGGACATTTTTGTTGTTTCGACATTTTTTCATGCTCAGTTCTTTGCATATGGACGTATATATGTCCCTGGAAGTCAACAAGAGGTGGCCAGTTCTGAGGATGATGTGCGATGGCGTGTTTTTCATGTTACGCATTTTGCTCTGTGGCTAATCCTTTACATTTCTCTCTGCTTTGTCCCTTTTCTCTGTCTGTCCTCTTCTGTCTCTCCTCTGTGTTTATAATTGCAATCTGTCTCGACATTCCACCGTCTCTCTTTTTTCTTTCTGTGTCCGCCATTTCTTTCCCCTGTCGCTTCTCTGCCTCGTCTTTGCCATTCCTCCCATCCTGTCTTCCTTTTCATCCCTCCGTCTGTCTCCTCCATCGTCCCTCTTTCGCTCTGTCTGATCGTCCTCAGGCTCACCCAGCTCTCAAAGCCTTTATGTGCGGCTCTCTCAGCGGCACCTGCTCGACGCTGCTCTTCCAGCCTTTGGATCTGGTCAAGACACGACTGCAGACGCTGCAGAACAGTGCCAAGCCAGGGTTTGTGTTTGCATACATACACACAGACACATTACACGCATGTGAACATGCAAACAGTTTTAGTATTTCACCTGCGTGCTGTCATACACAAGTCCATAAGCATGCCTCTGGTATTATCCTCCTTTAGCTCCCCTTTTTTCTGACTTGAACCCACACAGACAAGCACAGGAGATAAGCACACACACACACACACACAAACACAGCATGGCAGGTCAGAATTTGCTGGCAGTGCTAGCCTGAGTGTGTTGTCATGACCCATATAGGACAATTAGTCACACCAGCACCATGTAATCATACTGTCAGCCTACTAGGTTGCAATTACCACCACTGAGGACAGGAATGGCAAATTGATTGATTTTTCACAACAGTTATTCACCATAGCCATTGAGTGTTGTATATTTGCACGTTTAAATGGGTTTATAACAATGCTTACATTTCATCTTGCAGTGCACCCAGGGTGGGGATGTTCACCGTTTTCATCAACGTTGTCAGGACAGAGAAGTTCTTCAGTCTATGGAAGGGAGTTTCACCAGTGAGTAACTGACCTTGTTGATTATTTGCAACATTTACAATAAATCCAGCAGCTATGAATCCTGTTATTGCGTGTTTGCATGTAGGCAGTTGTCAGTGGGGGGCATTTGTTCTCCAGCATCCGTCTTTCAGTTCACATTAAAATTTCCTCCACACACACACTTGGACAGTTGATGTGTGACTTTCATTTTAAAGGTCACACAAACACTTTAATAAAAAACTAAACTAGCCTCTCTCATTGGCCACAGTCAAAAACAAAAACTATGCATGTGTATTACACCCTCGGTTGTCTGTTTATTTATTTTGTTTTTTAAAGCTAAAGCCAACTTTTACAGTATTGTGTGAACAAAAAAATGTTGAGGGATGTTGAATACTGTTATGTCTCTCTCTGCAGTCATTTGTGCGCTGCATCCCTGGGGTCGGTATCTACTTCAGCACCTTCTACTCCCTGAAGCAGCACTTCTTCCTGGACCGGGCGCCCAACGCTGGGGAGGCTGTTCTGCTCGGAGCAGGTGCCAGAGCTGTGGCTGGAGTCTGCATGCTACCGTTCACAGTCATCAAGACGCGTTTCGAGGTGAATAACTGTTTCTCTACATACTGACAGACTTCAGTTAGAGCTCATCTTCTGTCTTTGCTACTGATAGAAACATTAAAAGAGAATTCCGGTATATTTCTGCCTGAGTGTTTTACTACGAAGCAAGTTTAACATAGTCAGACTTTGGTTGTGCACCCCTCTACCACATTTTCTATTAATGTGACTACTGTGGCTCTATTAGTCATGTGACTTTTTACGTTGCATCTCCATTGTAAAGATTCAGGGAATGACGGAGTCGCACAGGACAGCTTGTGAGCAGCATTTAGTGGGGAAATATTAGCTCCCTGCAGCTTTCTAAAGAATGACGATTTTTACATGAATCAGTTTGAATGTTTGCTTTCAGTCTGACTGAAGGTGAACAGAGAAATGAGCCGTGTGGAATCAACATTTTGCTAAAAGCATTGGAAGTTTACATCTGGAGATCTCGCCAGCTGACCTGATCACCAGCAGAGCGGGACCTAGTGATGCCAGACTAGGAAATCTCTATTTGTCCATGGATGAGAATAATCCCAACTGTGGGAAAAAAACAAAACAACTAATGAATCTGCAGCTTTGATGAACATTGCTGTCATGTGAATGATGTTTTAACCCCCTAAAATCAACTGGAACAAAAGACTAGCCAGACCACACATTCAACTCTCCATTCAATAAATAAAAGCTAATGTAGTTCTGAAAAAGGCCGTTCCAGGAGGAAAATTTTTGTATTTACTTTCACGAAGACTCGAAAGCTTAATGTAAAGGCCTGCTTCTTTAAAAAGCTGCAGGGAGCTAATGTTAACTGTCACCTGTTAAACTGTGTTTCCTCAAATCTTAGCATGAGCTACAGAACCACAATAGGAGATACACCAGTTTTAAATAAATGGGGAAAAAAACAAAACAACTAATGAATCTGCAGCTTTGATGAACATTGCTGTCATGTGAATGATGTTTTAATCCCCTAAAATCAACTGGAACAGAAGACTAGCCAGACCACACATTCAACTCTCCATTCAGTAAATTAAAGCTAATGTAGTTCTGAAAAATGCCGTTCCAGGAGGCTAATTTTTGTATTTACTTTCATGAAGACTCGAAAGCTTAATGTAAAAGTCTGCTTCTTTAAAAAGCTGTGGGGAGCTAATGTTAACTGTCACCTGTTAAACTGTGTTTCCTCAAATCTTAGCATGAGCTACAGAACCACAATAGCTACATAACTGGAGATACACCAGTTTTTAATAAATGGGGAAAAAAACAACAACAAACTGCCAACAACTGATTCCACCCAATTAGGCATTTACTACCATTGTGATAGGAGCAGCTGTGTAAACAAAGATGTTTCATATGTATTTTCTCTCTTTGTATGTTGTGTCAGAGTGGCTGCTACAACTATGTGAGTGTGGCCGGGGCTCTGAGGAGCGTGTACGAGACGGAGGGAGTCCGGGCTCTGTTCTCAGGACTGACTGCGACGCTGCTCCGAGACGCTCCGTTCTCCGGTATCTACGTCATGTTTTATAGCCAGGCCAAGAAATCCCTGCCTCAAGGTGAGAACCACTCCACTTCTACAACATAATGTCAATTAGGTCATGAGGAATGATTGTGGGTGCTTGCACTGCATGTCTTCATGTGTCCAGATGGCCAACAAAGCAAAGTGTGTTTCCTCTCTCTTGATTTTATGTTTAACGTATATATTGTAAATACACTTGTCTGAGATGGAATAGTTGGCGTGTTAATGAAAAAGAAAATGCGACTAAGTTGAGTGGAAACAGAAGCAATTAATGCCATCAAATGAAAACTCTCTCTTTGTGACTGCATCAGTGTCTCTTCCTTTTCTCCAGCCGTGTAGCAGCATCCAACCAGAGAATTTGATCCACCACCTTTTTATAGCCTTAATATTTGCCTAACAGTACTGAGTCACCACGCACTTTATTTACATTTACTTTGCTTTCTGTGTAATCTTCTACTTTGTCCTGACACCTGGCTCTTCCTCTCTCAGAAGTAGCTTCAGCTGCCTATGCCCCGCTGGTGAACTTCAGCTGTGGAGTGGTGGCAGGCGTCTTGGCATCGCTGGCCACGCAGCCTGCAGATGTGGTAAAAACCCACATTCAAATCAGCCCGTCCCACTGGAGCACGACGGATGCTATTCGCTACATCTACATGGTGTGTACTCACAGGCTTGTTGTTTTCAGTGAGAAACAGCGCATGCAATAATAGTTTAGGGGTGTGTCATGGCTGAACAGTAGTGTCATATCACCATAATCTTTCCTGCTCTGTCTTCTCCTTCAGGAGCACGGCATGCGCGGGTTTTTTCGTGGGGCCGTTCCCAGGTCTCTTCGCCGCACTCTGATGGCTGCTATGGCTTGGACTGTTTATGAACAGTTGATGGCTCGAATGGGCCTCAAATCCTGAAGAACAAACCTTGTGGAGCTACAAAGAAATGAGAGGCAATATGATGGGATTAAGATTTATTTTTTCACTGAGAGCGTCTCGCAAGAAGAAACTGGAGCAGAGGAGCTTATAGAGACAATGAAGCAGCGCTACCAAGATTCTGAACAGAGAAACCAGGTGGATAAATGTCTGAAAGAAGAGTGAGAATGCTGTGTGTGAGTGGGTGCGTGTGGGTTTACTTTCTTTTTTTGTTATTTAAATGTGAAATGTGAAAATCTGCCTGTTTGTGTCTGTCAGTGTAAGTCTGAGATGGTGATGTTACACCTAACACACTCTTAGGTCAGTCTTGGACTGTAGTGACACTCCCTGCTGTGAGGTGAACTTTCTTCCTCTTACTATTTATGTTCAGACAGAACAAGGTATCGCTACCAGGGCCAGTCACTCTACTGGGCAGCACAGTTGCCTTTGACAAGCAAACAGGATACATCAGCTGAGGTAACCAAAAACAAAGCACTGCGCAGAGGGACAGAGGAGCTGGTGAGACTTGCATAAGATTGAGCAATGTTTGTTACTTGCTGACTGATGTGAACTGAAAAGCAGAGAAGTTATATTAGTTTCAGGCTCAGACAATCTCAAGCACTCTTACAGCTGCATTATGGGAAAGAAAATCTAGGCTAACTCCAATAATCACAATAAAGCCTTTGTTGTCGCACTGCTCAAAACTATGCTAACTTACACTTTATATACAACTGTGGTGCAGTTTGACTCAGCGTAGTGAAACCACATGTGCTTTTTTTTCAATGATCGTCACCTCTGGAATATATTCAGACCTCTGATGGCAACTTGCAGAGATCAGGATTTTGTGGATTTTTATAAATTTTGTGAGTTTACTGCTTTCTTATTTGAAAGGTTTGACATTGTGAGGTACCCTGTGGAGTTTTTGACTGCTAGCAGCGCTGTGGATTCTTATGAATGGGTCCCAGTTTTGTTTGTTTTGTGCTCACAGGAGCAGCATGATACAGAGTGACCTGCTGCCAGGTTCACACTTTTCTGCGCATTAATCGTTGGTAGCAGTAACCTGCAAAGATGCAATTTAAAGTCTCTCTGTGGTTAATTAAATTTAAAAATCTCATCTCCATTCCATTAAAATAATACCTTCATGCCTTAAAATGGCTTAGACATAACTTTATACCAGTATTTCCTCGAGAATCTGCAAATCTGTAAAGTCTCACCTCTTCCCACTTGAAGCACACCAGCTCGCTCACGGCTCTGCTTGAACACCGTAAAACCACTTTATGCTTGTAATGTTGGATTATTTCAGCCATACATATACAAACTGGGCACTGAATCTGTCTGAAAGCAGATGTATGAAAGTGGCGTCAGTACAGCTTCAAAGCAGAAATGCTCAGCCTTTGCATTGACTGTTTTTTTTGCTCATATATCTTCTAGCATATAAAATAAGGACATATTAAGGTAAAAAAAAAAACAACAACTTGTTTTTTACCGGAGAGGGTCTTAAAATTATACAGAAATCCACTTTGCTTGATTTATGAGGAGGAAGTTGATTTTGTGTGTTTACAAGAAAACTCCAAAGGGCACCTTCAACAGCAATGCACTTTGCATTTTTTCCTAAGTTAAAAAAAAGCACTTTCATAAGTTGACGTTTTTTCTACAATTGAATTAAATATTTTGACGACAGGGTGACATTGAAATCTTTCACGTATTCCTTATTTTGTTACCTCCTGTTGTAAAACAGAATTTCCAGAATAATACATGTGCAAGTGAAGCATTGCTGAATCGTTGTGCTCATCAAGGTTGTACAGAGTCCATATCAGTGCTGGAGCTGTGGAGCTTGTCATTTTTTCTTTTTGCCTTTTTCTGGCTCTGTAAATAATGTACTTATTACAGAAGTATTGGCTGTTACAAAAAAAAAGGCCTTTTTTTCTGTTGTTTGTAGAGTGTATCTGTCTCCATAGACATTATTTATTATTGTTGATACAAAAAAAGAGGTCATATATTAAAAATAATTAATATGTATAAGTGTTTGTAGAGAAAATGCCAAAGGTAAGATCTCATCAGAGGAGGAGATTGATCAAAATGGATCCAAGTGTAAAGTCTTGACAGAAGGGACACCGATGCCCAGTGTGATCTGTGACAGGATGGAAAGTTTGGCAGAATTAAGCATAACGGAAACATTTGAAATCAGAATGCCAGATTTACCGAACAAGTGTTTTTCTGCAAGCTTCGTTTGAGATAAAAATGACAGAGTTTAGAGAGATAAAAACAGTTTAATGACTGTGAAGGCTACAGAACAGGATGAGGTGTCTTTCTGAGTGAAGGCAGATGTAAGACGAAGCTTTTATGTTTTTTTAACAGGCCTGGTGAGAGTAAGTGGAGCGTTAATTTCTAAAAGCCTCAGTGTTTGCTGTGTAACTCAAACTGTGTATCTAACAACACCCTACATGTGCCACAATTCACACCACGTAGTTTTACCTCGTCGGTTATCTTCCCCATCTTACCACTTCTGTCGTATTGCATATGGTCATTGTTGGTGTAGAGACTTGGTCTGTGCGTGTGTTTGCTCAGACAGATGCTGTGCCTGCCTGGTTTTTAAGGTCAATAAATTTTCCTCTTTTTATTTTCAAAAGAAATGTTGAGTTTCTGTTATTAGGAATCAAAAGGAGATATTGTGTACATGAATGAATTTATGAAAAATGGCAGCTATTCACAACCATCCATGTGGCTACTTAACATACTCAGAGAGGATTTGTGCTACGATGTGCTAAAGTTCAAATGATGTTGTTGTTATTATGTGGTAATTGTCTAATCTGATCATTAATTGGTCATAAGGGTTAACATTAGATTCTGATACAATACCTTTAAAAAGCATGCACCCCACTTTAAAGTAATTCCCCTTTTATTGTTTTTCAATGTGTAATCATAGGTTAATCTGGCTTTTTTGAAACAAATTTACAAGACAAAGATTCTTTCATGACAAAGTGAAAACAGATTTCTACAAAAAAATGTCAATTAGTTAAAAATATAGAATATGTGACTGCATAAGTATTAGACCCCTGTAAAGTGACAGGCTTAATTCAACACAGGTGCAGCCAGGTGGTGCTAGAAGTTATGCAGTTAGTGACGTGGAGATCATCTGAGTGCAGTAAATGTGTTTCTAGTGATTGTGGTATAAAGACACCTGTATGTGGAAGGTCCAGTCTCTGGTGAATCAGTACTCCTGGTTATAGCTACATCATAAGGACAAAAGAAAACTCCAAACAACTCTGTGTTTTAAAAAGCATAAGACGGGATGGATGCAAGAACATTTTCACTGAATATCTCCTGGAGTGCAGTAAAATCCATCATTAGGAAATAGAAGTGACTGTGTAAGAAAGACACTAGTGAGGGAGTATATCAAAGCACCTGTGACTCGTCTACAGGAGTTACGTTTTCAGCAGCTGAGATTGGACAGACTGTGTGTACAACTGAGGCCTGTTCCTCAATAGTTAAAGCTTTGTGGTGGAGTGGCAAAAAGAAAGCGACTGTTGAAAAAAGCTCATATTAAATCCTATCTAGAGTTCACCACAAGGACTGTGGGAGACTCTAAAGTCAAGTGGAAGAAGGTTCTTTAGCCTGAAGAGACCAAAATGGAGCTTTTTGGTCATTAGACTGGATGCTTTGCATTTCATCATAAATGCACCTTTCCCTCTGTAAAGCATGGTGGTGGCAGTATCATGAGGTGGGGCTGCTTCTCAGCTGCAGGCCCTGGGGAGCTCGTAAAGGTAGACTGTGAAATGGATGCTGCAAAGTATATGGAAATAAGGGAGGACAACCTGATGCAGTCTGTAAAAGAGCTGCACGTACAGCCAGAGCTACACATAAATGCTTTATAGACAACAAGTTGAATGTTCTGGAGCGGCAGAGTCAGAGTCCAGACATCATTGCAATTTGGGAATTTGTGGCTGGAATTGAAAAGTGCTGTTCACTCACAGTCCGTGTACAACCTGACAGAGCTTCAGCAGTATTGCAAAGAAGACTGAGACCCATCCACACAGGCTCAAGGCTGTAATTACAGCCAAATGTGCATCCGCTAAATACTGACTTGAAGGGGGTGAATCGTTTTTGCAACACCCAAAATTTACCGTTTACATGTTTAAATAGTTGACATTACTTTTTTAAAAAAAAATCTATTTTTGATCATTTTTTGTGTGAATTCTTGTTAATAAAAAGCCATGATTCAATGTTAAAAGCAGTAGAAAGGGAAAACTTCCAAGGGGATCAATAATTTTTATAGGCACTGTACATAGCATTTTCTAAACCAACTATAGAGCTGTTGATTAAGTTTTCAGACATTTTTTTTATTGAGTTTCAGGGAAGGAGCTGATACATGACATCAAAACCAAGCTACAACATTTGGATACACAGGTATAGACACCACAAGATATAAGGTGGTCAAAAAAAAAAAAAGTTAAATACATTCATAGCAACTAGGTGCACATGCAGACGTAAAGAAGACATGTCAAAGTTGCAGAAGACTTTTGGCAATTCTTGAAATCAAATAGACTCTACAGGCCTAAAAACGATGCTCGACTAATTGTTGAGATATTTGAGTGGTGGACTGATGAACTGATGGACACTCGAACAAGAAGAAAGAAGTGACGGCTTCAGAGGCTTGTGTCCTTTAATGTGATCAACCCGGAGTTACATGAGTAGATGCGACTGCCGCCTGATGAGACGCCGTCACATTGGTTGACGTGCAATCATGTTTCTCTATCAAAGTAGTGGTACTGTGTCAGTAGCCATATTATTGTAAATCGGATCAAAGCTTTGAAAAATGTCACAAAATTATAATCATGAACTACAAAAAACAAAAATACACGTTGACATAAATTACAACAGAGTGAGGAAGAAAACAGTGTAGAACAAAGTACGAAACAGTCAAAAATGTTTTTGTGTACAGATACCTGAAAGAATTGATGAATAAATATATATATAAATAAATAAACAAATAAATGAATGAATGAATCAAGCAATCAATCAATTAATGAATAAATAAATTTGCTTTAATTATATCTTTAAGTTAAAAGCAACACTAGTTAACCAGACGTTAAAAAAAAAAAAAAACAACTCAGTAAATGTTAGTTGTAAATATTAAAGACAAGCTGCATCTGCCTGTTTCTGCTGCTTCAATCAGACTTTTGCATGCATTTGCAAAAATTGAAATTGATGGAAATATGGGATGGAAAGGTGATACAGTGGTTAGCTAGAAGATCTTGGGTTTGAATCTGGGCCTGGGGGGCTTTCTGTGTGGAGTTTGCATGTTCTCTCTGCGTGGGTTCTCTCTGGGTTCTAAACATGCTGAGGTTAATTGGTGATTCTAAATTTTGGTTTTCCACCAATCCTACAAATTTCATGCCTTCCTCACCCAATCGGGTCGATATTTTGTTTGTTTAGTTCCATTTAATCTTGTGTCTTGTATTGTAATTGGGTGTCAGATTCTCAAGGTGCAGCTATTTTAATCAGAACTCCAGTACAGCTTACAAGTTTTTGTAAATTGTAGAGATTCTGTATAGTTGTGCAGTGAAATATAATCAATTAAACATCACAGCAACCTATGGATGCCACTATGCTGGCCAGCATAAATATAAGGCTACTATTGCAAATGAGAAAAACTATCTGTTAAATAAATATTTGCTACTGATGTCAACGACTAGCTTTATTTGGATATCTGTGCTAGTTTACCTACATTTCCTCTTATTGTACAGTTTCTTGCGTTTCCACAATCAGATGCAGATGAATTTGAGTTTTTCCTGGCAGTCCCTCTCCTCCCACAGTCCTTCAGTGGTTAGAGCGCCGCAGCGTTTCACCATTGGACACACCTGACCTTCTCCTTGGGACCAGGCTGTGTCCACCAGAGTGTCACCGTTCACCCACAGCCAGCGGTCGCCCAGGAAACGCAGGCCGATCCACATCGGCTCAGTGATATCATGGCGCTCCATCTCATTTTGGGCCAGTTTGGTCTCGGCGTCAGAGAGCAGGCTGGTGAGATCAGTGTAACTGTCTCTGCAGTGCGCCACAGCCTGTTCCCAGGCCTTCTTCTCCTCCACTATCTTCAGACTAATGCAGAAGAAGTTGCGTCCAGTGTAACCCATCTCAGGAAACCATCCATCACCGGTCCAGAAGGCGTTGGTAGTAAGAAGAGCCTGTGATAAATCCATTGTGTTTTTCCAGTTCTGGTAGGTGACTTGGCCGGCTCCTGCCCATTTCCAGATAGCTTGGGGTTGGTCCCAGTACAAACCGATCCATCCTGAATGTTGCTTACCCACAGACATTATGAACGCCTGCTCCACCAAACTGCTGCTGATGGGTGAAAGGTCAGTGTGGTGTTCCCTGCACCAGTCCCGAGCTGCGCTCCAGTCTAGTGACCGTTGGACAAACAGGTGTTTTTCAGCCAGACTGCATGCACTTGTAACAATAAGCACTCTGAAGACGATCTTCTCCATCCTGGTTCAGTCTCTCTGTGGGAGGAATGAGATTGTGAATTTGTTGTCTTCCGTACACTCTTAGCTTGTGACAGACGAAACGTTTGCATGCACTCAAATAAGACCTACTGAATACTTAAACAGGGTCAAATAATACGCAAATTTTCCTCAAGATAGGCATTCAAAGATTGTTTACAGGCCGGTGCTGCCTTGTCTACTCTGGAAGACAAACTAATCAGAATACAAAAAAACAAACTATTTACTTGGATTGCGACTTTGTTGGCACTTTGCACTTATTCACACACACACACAAAAAAAATAGACATGATCGTCCTAGTTTGCATGCTAGTTTGAGGCTAGAGATGAACAGAGATGTCCAGGTTGGATTTAGATCCAGAGAGTGAGCTGACACAGATGACACACACACGTTTCAAGTAACAGGCAGCAAATGAGAGGATAATCCAGTCAAACTAAACCAAATGAAGTTCTGCGCATACACTGCATCTCTCGAAAGTGTGTTTGCTGTCGAGTGTAAATGATGCTTTTGCCACTTTAGCCATTTGATTTCAAAGGATGATCAAAACACACCTGGCTGGCTTTAGCTTTAGCTTTTATTCACTCTGTTTAAATGCAAACAGCATATAAATACAGGTGATTCCGCCTCAATTCACCGAACGCCCCACGCCTGACAGTCTTTAATTTAATTTCAGTATTAATTGAGTTGACAATATGTAAAAGTTCATAGGTGACAGTAGTTTCTGAGTATAAATAATATAGCTACAGTCCTGAAATTTAGCAGGCTCATTGATATGTACATGTGATCTTCAATGGTGCAACCTGGCCTTGATAGAATAATACATAACCAGTTACATGATGGCGTAAAGAACAGAGAAAGAACAAGTGCAATAAAAGGAACATAGAGGGTAAAACCATCAACGCAAGGCTGAAAGTAATAATAATAGTAGTAGGCATAGCAAAAAAGTAAAATAAATACATGAGTAAATAAAGGATAAATGAGATTAAAATGAAAAATAAAATAAAGTTTAAAAAGAAAGAAAGAAAAAAAGAAAAATAGACTAATAAATTTGACAGTACAATTACTTTCCCTGTGGCACAGAGGTGGGAAAGTCTCTCTTATCATGGTTCTCAGGTAATATTTTATTGTGCTATAAGTGAACATTACATCAGACTAATGTAACTACATGTGTTAACTATGCTGTGCTGCCATTTAACTCTTGATCAAAACTGCTATCTTGACGTGACTGGAAAGATGTTTGGTTCTCTCCTGTTTTAGCTCTCGATGTCCAGAAGTCTGAATATGCTGCAGATGAAGGAAGAGCTGAAGGAACCCACCTGGTAGGAACCACCAAGAAGAAAACAGATCAGAAGGTGGACTTTTTCCAGACTTTTATTTAATCGTGGCACGTCTACTTCTTCATCATTTCTTCAGCAAATCTAGCAAGTGTTTCAGTTTCTGTGTCCATATCTGTAGACAGTCACACAGCAACTGGTACTCTTACAGATCTGGGAGCCTGCGTAGGAACACACATCGTACTCCAGTTGTGTTTGCTCAGTAACAGGTTCAAGGTAGTCATTTTTGAAGCTAAAGATGATGATTGTGTATCGCATGTTGTGAAAGATGGTGGATGCTCTCGACACAAAATAGAAAACATTTACAATTTGGTTTTCAAATTGATTTTCGCTCTGTTAGGAAAGGGCTGAACGTTTGACAGTCAAAAGACCTGGACAAAAGGGATTAACACAGACGCCTTTGTGAATTCAAAGAGGGTGTGAGGGGATTTGCCTTTCGTCTGTTGTCCTTTGCTCTCAGTAGCAGCAGCAGCCAACCTTCTCTTGGGATTTCAAAAGGTGTCTTACCATTTTAAAGGTTATATCACAGGATATCTAATCAATTTCAACTGTCGAACAAAGTAGAAGACGACTAAACATGCAGCCCACTGTTCAAATGGATGTTGTCGGTGTTTAGGTGTGACACAGCAACACGACTGAGGTTTAACAGTGACCTGAGCTGCTCTTTAACGTCGCCCTATGTGGGCCCAGTCACACTCAATGCTGTAACTTTTGTTTGTTTTCTAATTTCTTCAGAGCAAATGGCAACACGTTTCCATGTGGAAACCCACAATGCACTGCCTCGGGTGACTCCAATTGTGTTGGCTTCAGTGATTCAGCAGATTCTTCAGTGACAGGATTAGACCGATGTGCAGGCACATTGTCAGGCTGCTTGCTGTGAGGCTTCTGTGGATTTTTTTAAATATATATATACAAGAAAAAGGATGAGCGATGCAGAAATTAAAGCTGAGGGGAATGTTTTATTTCATCCCAGGAGCTGCTATAACATTCATAGCAGCTAATTAAAAGTAGATGCCTCCTCATGTGGCATTATTGCACATTAACTGTTCGGGTCTCTTCATTGTCTGGATGTTGTGGAGGTGTTGAGCTCTGGGATGTTCCTTCACCACAAGGACTTCATGAGCAGTGAGGTTGCCAGGTTCATGCACCTGGCATTTAGGCTGAGTGCAGCACAGTTCTTGTAGCTCAGTATCACTTATAGTTCAACTCGCCAAGCTTTACCCCAAAGTCATGAAACTGAAGGAAACTTATGAAGTCTTTAACCTGAAGCAATTTGTTTCCCCTTTTTTCTAGAGATTATATATATGGCAAAACCCAAGGACTGTTTTCACTGATGTAGAATTCTTCTCCTTTTTTAACTGCTGTTAGAGACTCTTTTCTTTTGTAAACAAGACAGTAATATTGAACTATGCATCTTTAAAGTGAACACTGAAATTAAGAAATCCTTCCATATGATGTGTGTTATTCTAATTCTATGACAAGAAATCTTTTGAATAAAGCCGACAAGTCAGATACTTACTGTATAAATTCTACATTCACAAAGCTCCGACATTTTTAGTTCTAGTCAAGAAGGTGATGATTTTTTATATTTTTTATCGAGGTTCATAGTGGGGTGGTGGTGCTGCATTTCATTTAAAAGCATTTTTAATAATTTGTCTATTTTTGGAGCACATTAGGGGAGCAAAAATATTGTGTGGAAGTAAATTATAGCATGAATTAGAATTTTAACAGCAGACTCAGTCGCTTTTGGTTGCTGTGTACCAAACAGTCTCAATAAAATACATTTTAGGATACATAAGTTGATATTATTAAATCAGAAATGCTCAATAACCCATGGACTGTATTAACATTTAACTGGGGATATGATGCAACATTTTACAGAATCTTCAAAAAATAAAACGAAAACTAAATTCTACATGGGTGAAATCAGTGCCTGGGTGTCAGTTGCTTGGACTGTAAATGCAGCCATATATAGAACTGTTTAGTGCTGCATACTTATCCCGATTAATAAACTTATATACTATATATGGCAGGCAATACACAGTTTTTTTTAAAATACTGAAAACAGCTACACTATTCATACCCAAGGTGGCAGTATAGGACCTGCTGTATGTCATCGTGGTGTAACCAGTTTCTGCTGCCTTGTGGTGAACCACGGTGGTGAAATTACTGCTCAGGACTTATATAGTGAATCAATGTAGGATAATTAGGGTGATATAAATAAATATAGGTACTATACGGCATTGTAAATATACAAACTTTTCCATGAATATACAGGATTTTATATGAAAACTGAGGGGAACAAGCAAGCAGACTGCAGGTAGTCAGAGTGGAAAGGAGAAAGGTGTAGGCAGAAGGTCTTTTTTGTTTCCCCCCGTTGATCCAACCCTTTCTGTTTAACCCTCTAAACCCAAAGAATTGCAAAGTTTTGCATCTCTATGCAAACAGCACAACCATGGCTAGAAGTAGAGAAAACTCAGAAATGTGCTGTGTGCAGTAAATGCAAGAAGTCATTCAATTAAGTTTGTCAATCAAGTTTTAGTTCTTTATTTATTTCACAAACAAAACAGGAACAACATGTACAGCATTTTCAGGTGCCCACAGGTGCTACCAACACCGGGGGGGAAAAAAAACTACTTGTAGATGTAATCTTCCTTTTAGTTAGTTTCAGTTAACTCAAGCGGCAGCATCTTATCTTTTGTGGTGCAGAACTGGAATCCTGCACACATGCATTTCGAAGAAAGAACATTATCTGTGATAAGACTGAAAAACAAACACAGGCAGCAGTGAGAAGAGGGACGGCAGGTAAAAGTTTACAGGTGTAGTTTTGTTTTTAGTGCAACTTACAGTTTGAACAGTTCCCAAATGTATCAATAAACAGGCTTAAAGTCGAGATCTGGAAAGTGAAAACTCAATTCAAAACCGAAGAGCATCATTTTGGAATGTTGCTATATTGAACAGAAAACAATACTGACTCTCATTCTACATTATGTTCTAGAAAACTTTACAGATAGCTTTGACTGATTATCACTCTGAAAGTGCAGCCGAAGCTTCTCCTGAAGGCTTTGCTCATAACTGAGAGATCCTTCCTCAAAGCTAATTATGGCAAAAGCTCAGAGTCTTGAGAAATCTATAGGAATTTTTTTTTTCAATTTTTTCTTGATATGAAGAATATTAAGACAGATTTTATGCCATTTTTCCAGCTCTGATTGTTCCATTAAAACACAAGTAATAGAATAGAATAGAATAGAATAGAATAGAATAGAATAGAATAGAATAGAATAGAATAGAATAGAATGCTTTTATTGTCATCATGCACAAGATACAACGAAATTAAAAGACAACTCCAGTGGTGCAAAATACAAGTCCATAAGACAAATAAGAATATATACATATATTTACAAAAGGAGCCAGTAGGAAGTATATACAGTTTATTCTTCCAAATCCACAGTACTAGGAGCTGGAAGGTAAATAAAATGTGCTTGTTATCTTAAAACCGGATTATTTCATGTAGCCAGTCTGTGTTAAGTAAATTAAACTGAACAGATGTCTTGTTTATGTGACATTTGTTTTCTGGACACCAGTGAACTACATGGGCCAGCGTCACCTCCCACAGCATTTATAGCCAGAAGTAGTTTAGAAACACTTTTATATGACATTTTATTTTTAAAAAATTCACCACCCAGCAGAGAAAACTCAAACTAGTGCAAAACACAGGCAGAGATACAGTAAAAGTATCACAAAGCAACTTAATAAAGAGCATCTCCCATGACCATGAGTACTCAGTGCTACAAATACTAGAAGTACTCACACTTACTTAAGAAGGAAATGACAGAGTTTGTAAATGAGTAAGATAAATGCTACACTGTCTGGAAAGACTGTTTACATGTTGGCTGTGTGCATTGCTCAAAACAGTGGTTCTCAAACTGTTTGAGCCACAATCCCCAAGATACCACAAGTTTGTGTTCATGACCCCCCAGTTTGAATTTTTAATATATCATGAGTAATAACTTTGTTGTTCATGCATTAATGTGTTAAAAATTAATGTGTTAATTCCACAGATTCCTCTCTTTTCATTGACATGTTAATTTTCTTTTGAATGAATGAATGAATGAAATTTATTTTGAACAAATGAAAGGGAAAAAAATCTAAAAACAAAAGAAAATAATTTTAAAAATTGGCTTTAAAAAGAGCAAAAAAGAATAATAATATTGCATAATTACATCATAATATTAATAAGTTTGAAAAAGGAGTGGGAGGAAGTGTACACTTTTCATTTTGACAGCCATAGCACAAACTTATTTGATAAATGTAGGTTTTATTTATTTATTTTTCTTTACAATGGTTTGTCCACCTCCTGATGTTATCTTGTCACCCCCTGTTTGAGAACCACTGGCTTAAAAGAAGTCCACCCCAGATGGGACTCGAACCCACAATCCCTGGCTTAGGAGGCCAGTGCCTTATCCATTAGGCCACTGGGGCAATTGCAGCGTTCTAGAACGACAAAATACACTATTAATGACAAAACTCCGCACCGTTAGCAGATGTAAGTGGTGGAATATATTTACTGTTGTATAAAAAAGTCTTATCTGTGTTTTTATAAGATATATATTCTCAAAATTGAAATGCTTCGTGTCTCGGCGCCGCCATCGAGCGCTATTCGGTTGCTATGCAACAGCGAACAAACCACTGTTGTAAAGTTCAACACGGAAGAGCTGAGCTGCTTCCTGTTAACACTGTTTGCTAACACAATAAATGTCACTGTGGGGGCAGTATGTTAAAACTTCAATTACGTCAAAGCTTCTTCTTTAGTGTCATTGTAAATTCTGGGTTCGGCCAACTAAGGTAAGGTTAATGTGGCCTGAAATGGTCTTTGTATGTATTAGTAAATTGTCAGGTCCCCCACGCGTGCCTTTATTTTGAAAGTGTGAGAGCAGAAGTTTTAGTCTATGCTGCTGTTAGCAAAAGCATCAACTAGCTAACGTTGCCGAGGTATCACTTAGCACATTTCTCCACAAGATAGTGGGAAACGTGTTATTATTTCGGTTTTATTCACTGCCATGTTTGTCGTAAGAGAATTTAATTTGCGTTCATGTAGCTGTTTTCAAAGAGAGATGAAAGTAGGCGACGATATTTATTAGGTAGCAAACACAGTTACCAGACAGCTAACGACTGTGTTCATAGAGAGGAGCAACCACCGTTACCTGGGTTAGTCATAAACAAGTCTTAGCAAACACCTCTTCGTTAAAAGACTCGTCGACATGGTGAGTTTTTGTGAACTTAATGCCAGAGCCTTTATAGTGGTCTGGCAGTCTCGTAATTCAACCTATTAGCCTGCTACTCTGGCCCACAGCCCACTAGAAGTTTGGAGAAAATGAAATGTTGTCCCTTTGCAGATCCTGTCTCGTGTGAAGCCAGCTGTGGGAGGAGAGACACCGGTGAGCATCAGTGAAAAGAAGAAGAAAAACAAAACGAAGGTTCCCCGCTTGGAAGAATACCTGCAACAGAGAGACTACCTTGGAGCCATGACATTGTTAGAGGTACTTAATCACACGCTGTTGTAGCTTTACTCAATCCACATAATGGGCTAACAAAGAAAAAAGAATAAATAACGCATGCTTTTACAGGCTTTTAAAGAAAGAGCCGGTACTAAAAATATATGTCACATCCTGTGTATTCTTGTTTCAATTAGTTGAAACCATATAATAATGGGTTTATAATTTCAAAACACTGCAGGAGGTTCAATGCCAGTGTGGTAGAAGCTAAACAATATTCAAAGTCAGGGAAATTCCAGCAAAAGAAAAAAGTCTGTGGGTATTGTGGATATGTGGAGTAGCAAAGTGGTCAGAGTGGGAATATGACACTATGGAGAGATAAAGAAATGATCACCCACTTTTTTTTTTGTTGTGATCAGACTTACACCAAGCTCCAGTCACTACTCAGTTTCCTACATAACAGTGATTAGAGCTGATGTTTAGAAAGAGGGCTTGTTAGTGTTTTTCCCCCTGTGACTGACTAAATAAACTGGTTTCATTAAAAATAGGCAAATCAGATAGATTGAACAGCTCAGGTAATAGATATGATACTACTGGACTAACTTGTCTTTGTGACTGAATCATTAACTGCTGCACTTTCACACAAGGGCTAAATGTTGTTTTATTTAACTGCAATTCCTCCTCCTCCTCCTCCAGGTGTGTCAGGCCCTGGAATTAAAGTTTCAGAAATAGAATCACAGCCTTATCTGTGCTACAGACAACACTGTGCTACCGAGGTGCTGCTGCTGCTGCTGCTGCTGCTGCTGCTGATGTGTTGCTGTGTCATCTCTAGTTTCAGAGAAGTATTGGAGAAAAAGAGGAGCATGCAGACTGCTGGATCGGCTACTGCGCCTTCCACTTGGGTGATTACAAGAGAGCTATGGAGGTACTTTTGGTTATATGTATGTGTGTGTGAACCTGTATGTGTGTATTGTTATATAAAGTGCCCTAAATACAGTATTTAGATCACACATTCTGAATAGATGTCTGGTAACCAGACAAGGACTGTTTTTGTAGGCTCTGATGACATTTGTAATATTTTCTTATCATGTTCTGACAGGAGTATAAGTCTTTGACCCGGAACCCTGAATGTCCTGCTGAGGTGTGGGTCTATCTGGCCTGTGCCCTGTTTTTTCTGGGGCTCTATAAAGATGCCGAGGAGGCTGCATCTAAGGGTAGACATTCTGTACATTTCTTCTGTGTATGAAAACCTCCTGACTCTCACCTTCATTTTGTATAATGTTGTTTTAGGGGAAAATCTCACAAGTAGTCTGTGGCAGTATTAAGTTTTTTCATAAAGTGTGAACATTAAATGGAGTCCCAGAGTTAGGAAAAATGTATATAGAGTCTGAACATCAATATTTACTGATTTACATGTCTGCATACTAAGTTCACCAATGACCTAAACTTTATAGATCACTATGATGACTGCCCGTGACCCTCGTGAGGATAAAGCGGTGTATAGATAATGCATGGATGGATGGATGGATGGATGGATGGATTATGATGACTGACTGATCATCATTCAAATGACAACCACATATAGTATGCCAACTAAACATGAAACACTCAAATCTGACCACGTACGGTGCCATATAACATTTACTGAATACCTCGGGTTTTGTTTAGAATAGGACCCAGTCGACACTCTGTTGAAGTTTCTTTCAGATTATTTGTGTCGTGTCATTTTTGCACAAAGTTTTGTAACTCATTGAATTATTTTGATGTGCACCAGTTGAAAATTCAGCATAAATCTCACAACAGATACTCCTCTTGCGCTCCATTTGCCATTTCAGTGTTCTTGTAATTGTAGACTTCTGCTGTGAAGGTGCACAGAGATTGTTCAGTAGATGTCGCTGAATGGGTTCGCCGTGTGATTTTTAGACCACCACCCATTCAACCACTCCCTGCTCATTGTGTAACTTCTGTGCCGGATCAACTTACAGTGCTGCTCAGTCAGTTATGTGACTGCCGAGGGGAAGATAATGATGTAATGAATTGTGCCCTTATTCTCATGTGGTTCACTGTATAATAAATGTGTTATCTCTATTACTCTGTAGCACCAATGTCCCCCCTCCAAAACCGGCTGCTCTTCCACTTGGCTCACAAGGTTCGAAAGTTATGACACTATTAATAAACTATAATGTATTTTCTGTGCAACCTTTCAATGCTTAATTCTTATCTATCCACCACCAGCTTCTCCCTGAGTTTGATTCATGTCTTCTTGCTTTCCCCCAATCTTCGTCACCCTAATTACACCCCTTATTGTCTGCTGTCCTAATATTGTGTCTCAGTTCAACGATGAGAAGAAGCTGATGGGTTTCCACCAGAACTTGGAGGATGTGACTGAGGACCAGCTGAGCCTGGCATCCATCCACTACATGCGTTCCCACTATCAGGAGGCCATAGACATCTATAAACGCCTGCTGCTGCAGAACAGGTCTGTGCATTTTCCTTTCTTTGACTCGCTTAAATTAGTTTCACACTCCTGCTTTACTTGAAAGCTGGCATCACCTCGACAGGTGAGAGTTGGAGGAATATTAGACTTCATGTGCTTCACACCTTGTGATACCACAAAGATAATGCAGGTGTCAAGGCAGCAGAACTGGTGAGCTGGCTTCATCTGACGCTGATATGCTATATTTGTAGAAGGCAGGTTTTAAAATGAAAAGACTTTGATTTCACTCGATATCCTTTTTCACTTCTTTCCTACATATATTGGAGCAGGGATACATCAGAGGTTTTTTACTAGTCTGACAGCAGATTTAGCAGATGTAACTGTCTGCCTCTGCAGCAGCTCTTAGCACACTCTTTGTTGGAATGCAGATTTGCCATACCACAACTGCTTCTTGTGACTGATAAGAGAAAAATGCAGAAAATTTAAAGTGGACTAAAGCAAGACTGATACAAGCCTGCAAATATCCATTCCTTTTTATGACTACTTTCTGACAATCAGGTGTTTCTTTATTTGTGTCCGGTTGTTAGTTTGATAACTTCTCATCTATGGTGTTTTTTTCTCTATGTGAGGTTTCATTAAACTTCTAAAATGAAATAACAGACATTTATTTAAAAATTTAGTGTCACTGACTTCTGCCTCTCTGTGTCCCTTATTGCATTAGCAAATAAACACTGACAGTGAAGACAGTTATTATAAGTTACCTTGTGCTGTGCACTAGATGAGAACATCGGAGGAGTAGTACTTTAATGAAATGACAGTAAGTGTTCGGCGTGATCCAGGCTGTGCTGCTCGCTCCTGTTAGATACAAACCTAATATCACAGATTACATTTGTAGTTTAGTAGCCAACAAATCTATGCTGTCAGATGCAACTCTCAGATGCATCGATCTTTTTCAAACACTGTTACATCTAAGGCAGATTAAGTCATATGTTAAAATCACAGTGTTTGCAACCTCTGCAGAACTTAGGCTTAACAATAACAAACATACAAAAATTGGTGTTTGTAATTTATGAAATCATGACAGCTATTAGATGTCGGAAAAGGTGTTTTTTAAGTGCAATAATATTCCTCAGCATAGACTGATATAGTTCATGTTTTGTCATGGGCTCTGTGACTAACTTCTCAGCAACCTCCTAACCTAAATTGGTCAACACAGTAATCCATAGTCACAGTCATGTGCTTGTGGTTATTGTAGTGTGATTATTGCACAAAGAGCGCACAGTTCCACTGTTTTGTGTTGAAGTGCAGATGGACGTTTGTGGCATCTCCAGCATTTTTGTGGGAGTTTTTCAACTGAAGCAGACACCAACACTCACCCTATACACTCTGTAGATAACCCCGTTTGGAAAAACTACACTCTTTAAAATCATTTTTGACATTTTGACACCAGAACACTGTAAAGAAGAATTTGTTAAAGGAAAACCAGAAAGTTGAGTGCGTAACTGAAATGAATTACACAGCATGTTATACTGGTTATACTGGTATGGGGATACATTAGAGATTAATAATTGGGTTATACCATCTTAAATTATCATGGGCCTTCTGTTCACTTTGTCATAAACTATGGATATTTAAAAACCTATCAGTGAGATTGTAATTTGACATATCAAGCACTTTCTTAGATAATCATAAAAAAATGACCATGAACCCACTTTGAGCACATATTGTCACACATTGAAAGGCGGTGTTTGAATGATGATGTCTCAGAAACTAATAAAGCTAAAAGCCTGAAATTAAGTTATTTTTCACTGTGCTGTTAATTCAGATTCTGCAATATTGGACAACTAGATTAAACAATCTCTGATTATGGTTGAGTTGAAATCTCTGAAAGTATTTGATATATTAATCTAAAATTTTCCAAATACCTTTATAAATATCCATACTGTGTGCTCCAAAAATATCAGGCAAGGATGGTCAAGCAAAAGTTGTAAAAATTTGTCGATTTGAGACTGAATGACCCCATACTGTAACTACATCATTATACACATGCTCTCTCGCTGTATCTTGTCTTTGCAGAGACTTCCTGGCTCTGAAGGTGTACGTGGCTCTGTGCTACTACAAGCTGGACTACTACGACGTGTCCCAGGAGGTGTTGGCCGTGTACCTGCAGAGCATCCCCGACTCCACGATCGCTCTCAACCTCAAGGCCTGCAACCACTTCAGGCTTTACAACGGCAAGGCAGCCGAGGTGCTGGCTGTTTAAATGCTTTGTTTCCTGGTTGATATGTTATAAATGCATTTTTATGTTTTGTGTTCAGACTATTGTAAAGGTGTTTGTGTCAGAAGGTTTAAAGGGCAAACATAAAAAGCTTTCATAACGTAACAATAAAATGAAATTAACAGCCACGTATCGCCGTGTGCTAACAGGTTAACATAAAAAACTCCAACAAATAACACAGTCACTGACATTTTTGTGGGGTTAATGTAAAGTATTTGTGCTTTTACTGAAATTGTTGCATTAATATTCTATTTTTTACCTTGTTTATTCCATTATGGTCGAGCCAGAATCTTCTCAGCCTTTTTCTTTCTTTGATGAGAGTACCTGGTGGTAGGTGTGACTCGTGTGTGTACTCTCTCCCTCCCTTTTAGGCTGAGTTGAAGAACCTAATCGACATCTCCTCCTGCTCCTTTGAGTTTGCTAAGGAGCTTATCCGACACAACCTGGTAAGCTCTTCACAAGCTCCGACTGCGAGTGTGTAGGTGTGTGGGCGCACATACGCCGCTGACTTATGTGCTAGACGTCCACGCTCTTATATCCCTGTGTACTGCAGGTGGTGTTTCGTGGCGGGGAGGGGGCGTTGCAGGTTCTGCCTCCTCTGATCGATGTGATCCCTGAGGCCAGACTCAACCTGGTCATCTACTATCTCAGACAAGGTGTGTAGCCACAGTACTGCAGTTTTCAAGACCGAGCAAAACGAGGGAAAATATGATATATTCTTGGATAGTTAGGATCATTTTTTAAAATGCAATCGTGTGCAGTAGATCAACACCACATTTCAGTGACGTGATACTCTGCATTATTCATTATTCCATATAAAAACAAAAAAGTTTACATGTTTTATTAATTTGATGTATAGTTACTTTAACCCATTTCAAGGACTCACATGCTCGATTTTATGCTTCCAGATGACGTGCAGGAAGCTTACAACCTCATTGAAGATTTGGTTCCCACCACACCTCAGGTGACAGTGCATTTTAATGGGATGTTTCACTCGTTGTTTCCAGTCCCCATCTGACCTCATTACGCGACTCTAAGTCTGCCCCATTTCACTTTAAAAAGTGCAAATATGGACTATTTTGCTATCAAAGCTTGAGATCTTGTGCAGTTTTCCAGCAAAGAGAATGTCCAATGAAAACCACAATTATTTCAGATTAAATGAAGCCTGTTAACAAACCCCTTCTGCCTGCTTCACTTAAGAGTTCCTGAGGAGATTTTTCCCTCCTCTGACCAGTTTTTTCTTTTTTTAATCTTCAAAGGCACTTTTAATGTCTCCCGGATCTGAAAGCATGTGAAACTCATGGAGTGTTTGGTGTTTGGATCCCTTTTATGTCTCTTTTTTTAACTTGTTGGAATGGATGTTGATGGGGTTTGAAGCAGCGATGAAACAATAGATCAAATGATTCACTTGGATTATTTATTATTTTCTCAGGAGTATATTTTGAAAGGAGTGGTAAATGCCGCATTGGGCCAAGAAATTGGATCAGTGAGTACTTCTGTTAAATTTGAAGAGTTATGTGCAAACAGATATGATAGCTCTGACTGTGAGACAAATGTGTGTTGCTGTGCTTTTATCCTTCAGAGGGATCACTTGAAAATTGCTCAGCAGTTCTTTCAGTTGGTTGGAGGCTCGGCTAGTGAATGCGGTACACCAAATCAAAATTTCATCAATATTATCCTTTAAAGCTACAGCGTGCCAGCTTGTATGAATAACTTTTTTTTTTTTCTCCTTTCAGATACGATTCCTGGCAGACAATGCATGGCCTCCTGCTTCTTCCTCTTAAGGCAGTTTGAAGATGTTCTCATATATCTCAACTCTGTCAAGGTTAGTGCTGAAGTCATTGTATGGTGTCTTCTACTGAAGAATCAGTGTTAATAATTTACTGTGAAAATAAGATGAGGCTGAATACAAAGAATCCCACACGCTGGGTGCTAAGTGTCACTTCAGTTGACAAGTGGTTCTTTAAAGCTGCAGTACATTTATTCAGGTGTGTTTTTCCTTTCTTCCCCATGATTCACGCGATAAGTGACACACTCACACTTCAGGCTTTATTTCTGGACATGTTAGCACTTCTACTTTCCTGTTCTTTTTTCAGGGTTACTTCTACAATGATGATACGTTCAACTTCAACTATGCTCAGGCTAAAGCAGCGCTTGGCAACTACAAAGAGGCAGAAGAGGTGTCTTTGTTCATAAAATATCTTCAGCAGTTTTTTTTTTTTTTTTACAGCCTTTCATTTAACTATTGACTAGTTTTTGTACTAATTTTTTTTTTTTTCCTTTTTTAGATTTTTCTGCTCATTCAGAGTGAAAAGATCAAGAATGACTATGTTTACCTGAGCTGGCTGGCACGGTGCTGTATGTATAGTAGTTGTACTGATTAATTACAGAAATATTATTTGCAAGTAGTGACATTTTTTTTCATACATGAGACAGATTAAGAAAAAAAAGACAAGAATTACAGAGTGCAGTAAGAATAACACTACTTCACTCATTACTAACAAGATCCTTGCTTGTGTTGGATCTACTCTCAGATGTTTTGGATAAAAGCGTCTGCCAAAAGAATTTGTAGAATTGTAGAATTACAAGGCATTAAATTATAAACTCCAGTTAAGCAAGAATTATTATATCAGTGCATCAGTCAGAAGAGGGTTTCAAACAAAAATCAAAAAATGTCTGAAGAGAAGACACAAGAAATCAGAGCACAGGCACATTTACTTCCTTAACTCTGAACGGATCACAAGCTGAACTTTTGCACAGACAAATAGAAGGTCTTAAACCAGATTGGCTTCCAGTGTTAAAAACAAATTTACATCATTTTCAGTACGATCAGTAAGAGAATGCCAGCTCTTAATTCCAGACTGCTGGTAAGGTGTTTGTTCGTTATGAAGATGAGCAGTTTTGCATATATTATGTAAAATGGCCAAAATGAGCACAACAATGATCCGGTTTCTTCACTGCTGCGTTTGGCACCAGCTGCACAAACAGCTGCGAAGCCTTTTTAGGGTAGACATGAAAAAAGGATCCAGTCGTCTCCACCTGATGACATAAAAGCACGGAAAACGCTCTCAGATACCGTAACCCAGCGAAAACAGAACTGAGGGAGCCTTTATACTGGTTCACCGAGGCTGGGATCTGAATCAAACATCTCCGCCAGATTTGTAGCCTCAGGCCTGTAAAGAATTTAGGGTCACTCTTTCACTCAGCTAATGTTACACTCAGCAGCTCTAAGAAATGGAAATCTCCGCTGTAGGATTTTTCTTCCTTTCTCGGCTTAATCTACATCAATAAAACCTGCCCACAGCCTTTATTATTTTCCAAATTTTAATCTATGAAAGCTGAAACTGCCTGTGAACGATGGAATATTGAACACTGATCTTATTCTTGTCAGACATAATGAACCAGAAGGGTCAGCTTGCCTGGGAGCTCTATCTGAAGATGGGCACTTCCTCAGATTCCTTCAGTTTGCTGCAGCTCATTGCAAACGACTGCTACAAGGTAATTTCAATCCTCCGTCTTCTGCCTCGTCTATTGTACTGTATGTGGCGACCACATAAATAGAAATACGTCTAAACCCGTGAAGTTTTGCTAAAACGGTTAGTCAAAGGCTTCATCAACAGAAACTCAGTGCTCAGAAATGATGATTTTGTTTTGATTAATCGATTAATACATCGACAAAGATGGTAAACATTCTCTAGTTTTTGCTCCTCCGATGTGTTTTGCAGGGTTTTATATAATTGCATAATCCATCCATCCATTATCTATACACGGCTTAATCCTCACTCGGATCGCGGCAGACTGGAGTCTATCCCAGCTGACTTAGGGTGAAGGCAGGGGACACACGGATGTTTCATTAAAGAGCTGGTGGAGACCAAAAACAGAGCAAAAAGTAGAAGTCAGTATTGCATCCTGACTGATGGGAACTTTACAGAGCAGAACAATCTAAATGAACTCCTCTGTTGGCAGAAACAATGGCCAAATGTCTGGACTACTGTGATGGTGGTTGTCTAAACACTTGCCAGTTAATGTTTTCAACTTTTTGTGCTTCTTCAAGTGGTCCAGAAAGACTTTCAGTCAACCATCAGAAGACTATTTAGCAGCATTTTGGTAATAAATTTGTTGCTTGAGACATTTATTGATGCAAATTCTCTGGTTTCCAACTTACACATCCATCCATCCATTATCTATACACCGCCTAATCTTCACTAGGGTCACGTGGGGGCTGGAGCCTATCCCAGCTGACTTGAACAGGTCACCAGTCTGTCACAGAGCTACACTTAGAGACAGACAACCAAGCACACTTATAATTGCATAATGAGACTTGTTTTAAGCTAGTTGGACAAAAGAAACAATCCAAAGACATCATCTTGATTTCTTTTAGAACTTGTTCACACTACGCAACGAATGGATTAATTAAAAAGTTGTTATTTTAAACCCAAGTGTGAATATTTATTTGTCTTTTATAGTGAATTTCAATTCAGGGCTGCTACTAGTGGTTTCCTCCATTATCAATTAATACACAGAGTATTTTCTTGAATGCAGTGAGGTAAAAAAGCAAAACATTTCTCTATGAAATGTAGATGAGTTAAGGTAGAAAGTGGCATGAAAACCTTCATTTTGTGCTTAAGAACAGTGCTTGAGTGAATGTGCATTCTGACACTGTATGTCACCTTGTGAATGTCACCGCCGGTTTTATTGGTGTAATTCTCAGGCCAGTTTCATCTGCTTCTTTATTGTCACATTTTGCTTAAGCACATTTTAATGTAGCTGTGGTCATGCGGAGGTGTCATCCTTCGAATTGCCCTCAGTTTTCACACCATATTTTTGAAACGCTACCAAAAATGGTGTTACGAATACAATCTGTGGGTACAGACCGAAAGCTAAAGCTCTGGTTCCATCCGTGCCTGAGAAGACAGTATGTTGCCCACCAGTGTTCATGATCCAAACCCGCTGTTTCAGATGGGTCAGTTCTACCATGCAGCCAAAGCGTTTGATGCACTGGAGAAGCTTGACCCGGGCTCCAACTACTGGGAGGGCAAAAGAGGAGCGTGTGTCGGCATCTTTCAGCTCATTCTAGCAAACAAGGAGTCCAAGTATGTTTATCTCTTTTTCCTGTGCAGCAGTTTGGGTTGTGGTTTTATCGTCTTCTTATCTCTGTCGGAGTGGGCGTGATGTGTAAATATAATAAACATGAGAGATGGTGCATTCTTGATCTAATCTCGTTTCCTCATTTATCTTGTTTGTGTTCTAGGGAGACCCTTAAAGAGGTTCTGGTCCTCCTGCGAAATTCAGGAAACCCACAGGTTGAGTACATCATTCGAGCTCTGAGGAAGTGGGCCAAAGACAACAGAGTCCTCCTGTCGTGACGGATTCAGCGCTGAACTTGTGCTCACTGCAGGCGTACAGTAGGAGAAGATACAATATGCAGACGTCAGCAGTCGTCACAGGTCATTTGGCTGTGAGAGGAATGTATGAATGACATCTATGCCAGATAAATAGATATAGACACTTCTCTGCTTTACAGTTGTGATTTGTATCAAAAGTATCTATTCTATTCAATTGCAATTCTCTATGTACTTGTATATTTGTATTAAAATGTGACTGTATTTTTAAATTACTTCTGTGTTGTCAGTGATTATTTGTATTGATGCAAGTAGGAGCACTGACTCCTGGTTGTTTTCTCTCAGCTTTATCTAAGCAATATAGGAACTATTTGCAGAACAAAGACATAGAAAAAAAATCCTCAGAGAATAGGGAGCAATACAAAAAATAATAATCAGCAAGAGCATATTAAATTTACAAACTCACGCGGAAATAAACTAAAAGATGAGCGTCTCTTTTTTTCACTTGCATATGTACATTTGAGACCTAATTTATGAATGTGTTTCCCCCAACATGGCTGAGGAGGAAATCTTTCTTCACAGTTGCCATCAAAAGCAGGAAAAAAAACAAAACGGGGCGATTTTAATTGCATACCACACGTTTTCTCCAGACACAATCACTGCATAAAAATAGTGAATAAAATTTTTTAAGTGTCACAAACCTCCAAAAAGTCGCCATCTTTGTTAATACATTGTGGTTTAACACAGCCTCATCTTTAAAACTTTACGCCCCCTTTTTGTGTAATGACACTTTGAATTGAATTTGAATTTTGAATTTGAATTCTAAACTCGACAAGCTTGGCAGAGTGGTTCTCGGAGACTCTCAGACGGAGCTCATTTTGCAACGTCTGCCCAGCAAACAGGGAACGTTCCCACAACATTGGCAAACATTACCTACAAGTTCTCATGACATTTTAAAGAAAACATTTTAATCTAATGCTCAAAGAATGTTTTAAGGATATTTCTCATTTCAAATCATGTTCCGGCGACCTAATGTTTAATTGCAATGTTCTGAAAATGTTTGGAGGATGTAGTTAGGGTTGTTGGATTATGTTACATGGCAATGGTAACTCACACAAGTCTTTAATTAAATGTTTTTTGAATAATTTAGAAAAACTTCACTGTAATATGATGTTTTAACAAAGGTGGAAATTTTGCTTGTAATATTCTGAAGATGTTTTGGGCATGTTGTTTAGGTAACGCATTATAGAACGTCCTTCTGTTGTCATGTTACATGGTAATAAAGGATGCAGGTTGTCAGTGCAACATTCAGAAAATGTGTTTTGAGAACTTTATCCTGCGACAATCTGAGAACCAAAAAAAAACTCCCATTGTTAACATTACTAGAACTAGAAGAATATTTTAAGAACTAAAAAAAAAAAAACCTTGCTGGGTATAAATTCACAAGAGATTCTCGTAAAAGAAAAAGAAAAAAAATCTAAAATGTCCTTTTAATTATAAATTTAGTCAAAATGTCCTGTGACAGAGGAAGGTTGGAGGAGGGTCAAAAGGGGCCCTGAGGAAAGTTTTACCCAGGGGTCTTTGTAACACGATAATCCAGACATGGTGTCTAATCACAGAAGTACAGAAATCCCACTATTCACTGTGGAATCTAAATATATTCTCACAGTTTATTGCAATGAGGAGTATTTTCTGCTGCAGTTAAACTGAGCATCAACAGGTGGTCATTAGTGCTTGTATTTAAATCAGCTGTTCCGGGGTGGTCAGCTGAGGCAGCCAATCCACTGGCTCGCCTTCTTCCCTTTAGGATTTGAGTGCGAGCTGGTTGCAAAAAAAAAAAAAGAAAAAAAAAAGCCCAATTCAGCGTTTTCCTGAATAGCCAAAATGAAAGGCAGCGAGTGAAAGCTGCGGGTTCAAACGGCGGCATGAAGCCGCTCACAGGTGCCTGGACGCCCGCAGCATGTGGGCCGTGTCTCCCACTCCCACGTCCTTCACTCACACACTTTATAAAGGTCATAATAGTGCTGATAGTGTTGTTATTATCGCCTGTTGTGACAGAGGCGGGTTTAGGATCGGGGCACGCGGTGATTGGACGCCATGACCCCCCTGTGGCACGAGGCTTCCGTTTCGTGCGTACGCGCAGGCGCAGCGACCCCTCTCTTCTGATATTTTATTTACTCCCGAAACCCAAGATGGCTCCTGTGAATGTCTCAGTCCCGTAGCAAATCGAGGATGCAAGTAGCTGCCGAAAAAACAACTTTTCCCCGACCGTCGCGTCCCCTGGAGTTCAATCCGTATGTTGCGGAGGAGGCTCTAACGTCCGTGTAGGCACCGAGCAGCCGTCGGAGCTCCGCGAAAGCTTCTTCAATCCCCCAATTTGGAGTAGTTTCGCGAAGTAGCTCTTCTCCTCGCTGTCGCTGTCTGTCCGGAGCGAGGTTCAGGCAGGCAGGCAGCTCATCCAAATGGCCGAACCGAGAAAAGTGCAATTTGTCACCCTCTCGGCCTTCGCAGCTGGAGCAGCCGCGGAGTCTAGGAAACGCCGGCTGGAGGATGAGGCCGACTTCAACTTCAACAGAGCCGGGGAGGTCGAGGCAGCGACCGGGGCAGGAGGTGCTGCCAGCAACGGTCGTCTCGGTAAAACCGGCGACAGGGACAAGGCTACAGCCGAGAGGAGGGCGACTGTTCGGCTCAACCTGCCCCTGTCCGAGCCCGACGACCGCTCCTCCGCCGAGTTTAATTACGGCGAACTCATCCAAAACCTCCAGGTAGGATCTCCGGGTTTTTAACCAACATTACCAGGCCGGCTGAGACTGGAGCCGGAGTTTATTTTGTCGCTCTTGGAAGTGTTTGTGTGGACTTGTCATTGCTAACTCGGAGGGGGAAGTGCACCTTGTCCTTCTAGCGTGGTGGAAACTGACCATTAGTGCGACTCCACACAAAAGACAGCAGCGGCAGTTTTTTTTTTCTTTTTTTTTTTTTGGCCACTCATGCAGCCAGTCCACTCTTGGTGCTTTCCAACTTCAGCTGCGCTGCTCTCACAGATTGTGGCTTCTCCTGTCTGCGCACATGTAGAGATAAAGCTCGTCTTGTGCAGCTACCTGTGTCCTTTTCACTCAGGCTTGCCCAGCAACAAGCCCACAGCCACACAGCCATTACAGCACTTGGAAATGCCACATGCAGTTTGGCCCTCTGGCTGCGGGTGATAGATAGATGAGAGAGCATTGCTGATGGAAGTACCAGGATGTAGCATGGGAGCAAGCAAATGTCAGAGCAGGGAGATCAAAGACAAGCTCGCCTCATTTGGACTCTGTGCAGATGTGGATGATCTAGATTTCTTGTAATGTTGTGTTTGCATGAGTGTGATTTTTTTATTTTTTTATTTTGAAAAGTTTGCAAAAGTTAATACCAAATTTCCCCCCTGAGTCCAAAAGCTGCTCATGTCAGCACCATGTTAGGCTTATTCTGTGGCTTATATTAGGTTTGCTGACAATATTGTGATGATATTTTATTGCTTGATCTACTGTTTTCTCAGAGTGGTGAGCACAGGGGTTGTATAGCACTGAAGCTGGTGGTGGTTTCAGGAAGAGCGCTGAAATTATTTAACTCTGATCATTACTTTTTTTTTTTTGTTAATATTCAATTTTTCAATATTCGCTCCAGGCAAAGAATAATCTTCCGAGTTTGACTTCAGCCAACAATCCCAACGATCCCTTCAACGATGAGGAGAGAGAGCGGCTCCATGTTGAAGCCCTGGCCAAAAAGTTTGAAAATAAATATGTAAGTTATCTTTTTTTTTCTTTTTTTTCAATCTCTATTGTAGCTGAAGTCTTGAGGCAGTTTCGAAACTCTGATAAGTCCAATCACCATTATTTATACAGCGTATTTAAAGCAACAGCTGTTGAGCAAAAGTGCTTTTCAGTAGGAAAAAAAAAAAGATTGGCGTTATGAATTAACCCAACAAGTTTAAATATACAGGATAAGACCCTACAGTGGTATTAATGATGTGAATTTACATAAGTAATTTAAATAGTAGGGATTAAGGCCCCGCAAAAGTTATATATAATACAACTTTACCTGACTGATAAATATCAAGGATAAGACCCGACAGTGTTATTAATTATGGATATTACACTGCTAATTCAGAAATAAGGTTACGACCCTATGAAATAGACTCTTTTTAAATAAGAATATGAGGAAGTACATTATACAGTTCAAAAGTAAACTTGTATTAAACACAGGAGGACAAACAGTGTTTCTCCAACACCTCATAATCATTGATATTTTGTACTTTTATTTTGAAAGACATACACATAGATTCCAATATTTACTAATATCAGCTAATACTGGATGATTTATAGGTTAAAACCATAGTTAGTGTTAGTTTTAGTAACTTGTTATTACCTCATAAGATTGAATTTCTGTTTTCAAATCATACATTTTCTCTAAAGATTGCATGAACCTTTACAGCACCTGCTATTTTTAGGTGCTTTCTTCACATTAAAAACCTTGTATCAGTGGATTAAAAAAAAAACAGGCAAAACCTCAGGAAGAGCAACACTATTTCCAGGCACTTATTCAGTGTCTCTACAGTTTAATTAAAATGGGATTTAAGATTTGAAAATTTCCATTAACAAGATATTCTCTTTTTTTATTACAAAAATGCATTTCCTCCTTTTTTATATTTGTTGTTTTTAAATAGTAGAGCCAACAAAACATACTCAGTTGGACATTTTACAGTTGAAAAATAATCTGTGAACACACACAATGTGGGAAAAAAAAATTATTACTTTTTACTTATGGGCCAACTTGTATGCCAATAACAGTAAATCTGAAAGAAGACTATATCAGTCAGGCTTGAGCGCTTTCTGGAGGGTTTAGGTGTGTTTGTGTTCTCTGGTGCACCAAATGTCCCTAAAACAAAACTACTGGGAGAATGTTTTCCTAAATTGAGGACATTTTCTTGGTTCTCGTTGTAATTAAGGGGCCTTTATATGGTTTGGGGTTTCTGTACGGATTTTTGCAGAAAGCTGATGAGTATTTGCTTGTGAGTAAAAATGATTATTATTTTTTTTATAGGGTAACACAGGAAAGAAGAAAAGGAAGGACAGAATGCAAGATTTGATTGATATTGGGTTTGGCTATGACGAGACAGACCCCTTTATAGACAACTCAGAAGCTGTGAGTAACCCTCACTTCATTAACAATGAGGTGGTTTTTCACCCGTGTGACTTTAATCCACTAAAATATCAGATTTTTTGTCTTTAGAACGCGGCACATTGTTGTCTTTGCTTCCTTGTTACCTGCTGATTTATTTTATGTTCTCATTACGTTACTGAGCTGCTGTTCTCTTGTCTTGCTGCGCCGAGGTAAACATTATCCCTACGCGGTTAAATATGCATGTCCTGCCTTGATGTTTCAAAACAGTACGTTCGGTGGCACTTCTAAAGATAGGCAGTTGTCCCTTATTACAACCAACCTGAGAGTACGGTTTCAAATCGTCCTCATGACTCATGAAGTCGTCCGTGCTCTCCGCGTTCACACAGGAATATGTCATTTCTGTCTTGCAGTGTTGTTTGTTGCTCAGTATTCAGAGGATATCGCTTTCTCTATCTGACAGTAATAGCTAGAATTACGCTCTTTGTATGGATTCTCTGCTATTATATATTTGTTTTGGTGTTTTGATTGCCGTCTTCTCTGCGCTCGCAAATTGTCAGTGCCCGTTTGACTCTTTTTTTTTTTTTTCTGTTTTGAAATGATGGAAACATTTTCTCATGTGGCCTGGAGGGATTGTGATTCTTTTCGGTTATTTATTTATTTTGGTCATTCATTTTTCGCTGACCAACAGAGGAGCAAAGGCTGTTTCGTGAAATGTTAACGAAACGCATTATCAGTTACTCAAAAAAAATGTTTTTAAGTCCGCGGACAGCGTTTTGTTGTGTAAGTGGACTTATTGTTTTCTGGAGTCCTGTCATCTCACACTGCAAACTGTCTCCCATTGTTATTTTTCTCAGTATGATGAGCTGGTGCCTGCGTCTCTGACCACAAAGCTGGGGGGATTTTACATCAACACTGGCACGCTGCAGTTCAGAGCGGCCTCTGACTCCGAGGGAGAGGAGGACAAGGTGAGACTGCAGCAACATAACACAACTGAACATAAAGAAATTCATATTTCAGTGTTTCAAAAAACAATTCTCAAGCCTGGAAAGGATATGAAAATATATCAATTTTTTACTTTTCTTGAAATACAACTCTGCTACAAGGGACGGTAATGACGACAAAGTCCAAATCTTATTTCCTTTGTGGTCATTGATGTGAAAATAAGAAATACAATAAATACTTACGTCAGAAAATACAAACAGAAAATAAATCATGAAATAAATTGCAAACAAAAGAAAAGAATAGGATGATAAGTTTACACCTCCAAGTTTTCTGTGAACCATAATTTTAAAATTGTCATGATTACTTATTGTTTTCATACACAGAGGGAACTTATTCCAATTATTTGCAACACAGAACCCAAAGGACTGAATGTCCATGTTGTAAATATGGTATTTCATAGATGGATGGATGGATGGATGGATGGATGGATGGGTGGGTGAATGAATGAATGAATGGATGGATGGATGGATGGATGGATGGATTGATGGTTGGTTGGATGAATGAATGAATGAATGAATGGATGGATGAATGAATGGATGGGTGAGTGGATGGATGGATGGATGGATGGATGGGTGGGTGGGTGAATGAATGAATGAATGAGTGAATGGATGGATGGATGGATGGATGGATGGATGGATACATACTTTATTCATTCCCTTGGGGAAATTCAAGGGAAGCCATGCAGCAGAACAGCACTGGTAGTGGCAGTGTCAGTCATTTGACCACTTTGATCCAGACTCAAACAACTAGACTGGTGTTAGGGAGACTGGTGCAGCATTTCCGTACAACATTCATACTCCCTGAGGATGAACCCCGGTGACCGTCTGATCTATTGTACTCCTTCTAATCACTAAACCAAGATGGCAAACAAACATACTTGCTTGATGTAAGCATTTAGCTCAAAACATTGCCGTACCCAAAGTGTCACAGAGCTGCTAACATGGCTGTAGACTCTTGACACGGATCAAACCCAGTCCTAGACTAAGAACTTTTTTTTTCTAGTAGTGATCTTTATTAATTTTTTTTATTTATTTAGTTTTTTAGTTGAAGGCTAAGCTTAATCCATGTCTGGGAAACGATGCCTTGGTAATGTTTTTAACTGTACTACCTCCCAGATACAGAAATCCTACCAAATGGTTGCCCACAAAATCATCATGTGTCAGAGAAAGCTAAAAAATGATATGGTTAACTCTGAGAAATATTGTGTTTACTAAATATGAGTGTGTGACCCAACAGGACCCAACACACAGCCTCTGTGTGTGTTCCTCAGACAGAATTGAAAGCGTATGTGCTCTCGTTTTAGAAGCTGAACAAAGACAAGGAGCAGGTGGTGAAGAAGAGGAAAAAGAAGGAAGTGAACAACCTGGAGGAGAAGAACCCGAAGAAGAACAAAGTACCCAAACAGGGGTAAGAATCACGTCTGTACAGCGTCGTTGTCTTGTGACAGCTCGTGAAGTTCAGCTTCTCTGTGAAAGGCGTTCTGTGGCAGAAGAGGCTCATGAGTAGCTGAGACTGCTAAACCTCCCGGCCCAGAGGACATCACTTTCCATGCATCTGTAAAACAGCCCCTTAAAAAAATCTCCCACTTAATCAAATGATTGATTACCTTTGAGCCAAACAGTCACTTTAAAATGCACGGTTATGTTTATGGACAGATTTTCCTCCTGTGCTTTAAAAGTTGACCTTTTGCACACCCGAGGATTTGTGGGCCGCTGCAGTGTGTGACGTCTCTTTGTCCACTGTTTACCACCCTGTGTGACATTATGCTCTGCTTTTGTGCGGGAGGATCCTCTTCATACATCTATCATGAGGCAGGGATGCTGACTGAGACTTGCTCTTAGCCGCAGCGACAAGCCAGCCACCTTCCAGAAAAACGCTCCATTATCCACGCTCAGATATGCCGAATACTCCAACACGCCACCATTCTGAAAACAACTTCTAAAAATAGCAGCAGCTATTGCCATTGTGCCATTATGAAACGGATGATGTTATATATGGGTGTGCGTGTGTCAGATCTGTGAGAGCAGACTGCAGGTTAATCCTCCAGAATCCCTCCAGTTAGACACTTTCTGAGTTGTCTTTGTCAGCGCCGGTTGACGTCTCATTTTTGCCAGCGAAAATGCCTTTATTGCCTTATTAGCATTTCTGAGGTCAACTAGTGAATTTGTGAACATTTTACAAAAGGGAGTGGAGTGGCCTGATTTCAGTCCTCACAGCAGCGGTCTGCATTTCAGATTTGCACAAGGATTCAAAATAGTTTATTTCAGCCAGTTTAATGCTGGTTGAAGCAGTTGGAAAAGCAGTTTAGTAGGAGAGGTGGGATGACATGAGCATCATATTTCTACATGGCTACGCATGAATAAGGCAGATGTAGCTGTACAAGTTACTTCTGTCAGAATTTTTTTTTTTTTTCCGCATTTATTAAACATCCGAGCAGAAAATTGCCTTTAAAGGTGTTGTGACTTATCTCAAAATTAGCACATGTCATTCTTCTTTGGTACAACGCTTGTTTGACTCTGACGCTGCTTTTCAGTTCTTTGCTCTGAAAGTTAGAATTTGTTTTAAGTTGCTTACACAAATAACGACTCTAAGATTACCATATATTTGATTGCTAAGAAATAGGTTAGTTTACCTAATCATAGCTGCTCTGTCTGTAGCTTTTTGAGTCAACTGAGAATGTTTGACTTGGAAATGAGTGTCCTGGTTATGGTCAGTTTTTCGAGTATCCTTGTTTTGTGTTTGTGAATGCAGATAAAGCCGCGTCCTAGTTTTGAGAAACCTAAATATGCTCCTTTGATTACTCTGAAAGCAAACAAGATACGGTGTGTCCTTGATCCGGGTTTCTGAATTTGGTCTAGAAATGAGTGGCTGAGATGTTGAGGAATCACAGAGCTGTTCTACTCATGTGTACCAGGAGATTCATAGCTGGGTTTCACATATAATGTATAAACGTCACGTCCTGAAAAACATCTAAATCATGATTGAACTGTTCACATGCACATGTTGCACTTATTGAATATGCTGAAACAACATGCCGATGTGGTCAGAGGCACTGTTTTCAGCTTTCATTCAAAATCTGATTTTCTTTGCTAAAAACAAAGCATTGCTGTGTCTTCTTCCAACAGAGTGACAGCTCTGAGCCTCCACCGGCCAGAGAAGAAGAAGAGGAAGAAGCTGATGAAGGACTCGCTGTATCTGGCGGCCATGCTCCGCCGCTTCACCCGGGAGAAGGAAGAGATGAGGAAAAGGAACCCCAACATGGCTCACCCCGGCCTGGCAGGAGGTGTGGCTAACAAGCCCCACTCCGGCAACTCAACGAACCACCTGTTAGCCTCGAACTCCACTCACCCGCAGGGCAACGCAGCCGGCAACGACCTCTCGCTGGCAGACCTCACCTCGGACCCCGCTGTGATGTCACTGCTGGGCTCGGCCAACGAGAAGGAGCTGCAGGATCTCCTAGGCGACCTGGACTTCAGCTTGTTGGACACTGACCAGCAGCACGCCATGGCGACCGCCAGAGAGAACGGCATTCTGGGAGTCGGTGTTCCGGCTCATAAAGCGGCGGCGGCGGCGGCAGCAGCAGTAGGAGGAGGTGGCCAAGGGCGAGGCCTGGGGTCTTCCAGTGGACTGTTTTCCCCGCCCCCGCTCCCCAGTGGACTGCCTGCTCCTCTTATTAAACGCATCGAGGACCTGCGGGCGGTGAGTCAACTGCAGTCTGTTAGTGGGTGGTTGCAATTACCTGTGAAGCCTCTTCACTGCAGTTAAACACAAATGCCATTCAGCCGAGGAAGTGGCACAGAATGTTTATTGTTGCTGTTGAGCCCAGGGAGAATAGTCTCTTTGCCAGTTTTGGAGAAACACGGCTTAAAGCTGAACCCTGAGGGGTTTTATGTAACTACAACAGCAGGGTTCTCACCACTACCTTTTGAAGAACTTTTTATTTTCTAGTTGCGCTTATATCTGGGAGCCTCGGATCTTTTTTTAGATGTTGGTAAAAATGTAAAGAGAGGTTGGGACGCAATTGAGAAGGATGATGCAAGTGAAGGATGCAGAGGTGAAGACGAGAAAAGTGAGGAGGAGGGAAGAAGAGGAATAAAAAACAAGAAACGATGGATTATTTTCTTGTTGCTTCCAAAGATAACGTATTGGAAAAGCGTTGGAGATCCAGAATAATTCAGTTTTATTAATTTAATTGATCAAGGGAAGAATATTTGGTATATTTAGTCTAGATCAAGAACAAAAAAATTGTGTTTTAGTTCTTTTCCCATTTCAGGCTCTAACTGATATTTAGCAAACAGTCTAAGAACTATAAACATGAACTCATAGAAAACAAAAGGTGATTTATTTATGTGACAGTTTAGGTACCTGCCATCCTGGATCCTCAGTGCAACATGAACCAACGTGTTTAGGTTTTTCTTTGCAGGTGTTCAAACAAGCTGACAATAAGCATTATTAGTTAAAACGGTAATTGAACCGCACGTCATAAATAATGATCGAATGGGAGAGATACGGCAGTAAAGTAAAACTTTTACAGCCAAATTACAACGGGGCAGTTATGGCTGTCGTGATTATGAAATTTTAATTAGACCCATTGTCATGTGATTAAGGATTTAACTGCCTTTTCTGTGTGTTTTATTCTACGATTAGATTTAGAATAGTCCTGTTAGTGCCTTTGATTTAAATCCATGAATTTAATGTCAGCAGCTGATCACTGAAAAGTAAGTTAAGGACCTTGAAATAAACAAGAAAAGAGCACAAATGGTGGCAAATTAAGTGTAAATACTGATCAAACTGAGCCGTTTCTGTCGGCAACAATTATATATAATGATCGTTATTGGTTTAGATAATTGCCATCATCCAATTATGTAATAGTTGTGATCGGCCTAAGGATACTTACTGTCGGGGTGCCATGTTTCACTTTGTCTTAATTGAGAATCTGCTGAAGCACAGAGCGAGATGCAAAAACATCACATGTAGTTTATCCCTTCTTACTTTCTGATTGATCAGAAATCCTCACTCGCTCGTGCGTGTTACCACTACAGATGCAGAGCAGGAGGTCCCTCACAATGCATGCTAAAGTTATATATTGATTCTGTGGTTTGATTGGATGCAGAAAAACCCTCTTTTTTCATGTTTAGTTATTTCAGTTCTTTGGTCTTTACTGGCGTTATTTTGACACGGTAGCTTCAACTGTGTTAAAACTGTAAACAATCAGGTTTCAGAGCACCCTTTTAAGCACAAACCCCCTAAAGATTCACGTTTAAAATTAGACCCGGGTGTCAGACAGGTGGAGGAGTTGAAGCCCTCCGAGGCTCAGCATCACAGACATGTGTATGTATTTCTAGTGTATGGAACAGTGCTGTGTGCTGACTCAGCTTTTTCTCCCACAGGCCTCGCGGCAGTTTGATCAGGAGGGCAGGAAGAAATTTTTCACCCTGGACATGAATAACATTCTCCTGGAGTGAGTAGGACAGCTTTTAAATCACCGTCAGACAAATCCCTGCTCACTCTCCTCCTCCTTTTTCAGCCTCTCTCGCTCATTTTCAGCAGATTTCCCTCGCCACCTCTTCTGCTGTCTCTAAGTGTTTTGTTTTCTCTCTGTCTCTCATTGTCTGTGGTAATGACATGCTTCTCATTTCCATTCACCCTCCTCTCATTCCTCTGCCGCTTCCTGCTGTCCTTCCCCGTCCACTCCTTCAATCTCCCATCTTTGTGTTTTATTTTTTTTTTTACATTTTTCTAACAATCTTGACTTTCTCTCTCTCAGTATTGAGCTGCAGGTCCAGGAGCAGCCTCCCGAGGTGCGCACAGATATCTACACGCACATGGAGGCATTTGTGCCGTGCAATAAAGAAGCGCTCCTCAAACGCCTGAAGAAACTCAGCCTCAACATCCAGGTGAGCGAGGCTTATCTGCGGAGGAAGTCGTGAATCCCCTCACATTACACTGATCTGGAATATGATTAGAAAGAAATCTTTCCTGCTGCAGCTTTTCTGATTGCTCCGTGGTCACTACAAGTCAGATTCAGGAGAGGCTGAAGGCCCTCTGTGAGCACTTTGAAAATCTCATCACGTAGTGAATGGAAAAGGAGACACATTCACCCGCCCTGCCAGTGGCTGAGTGAACGGGGTGTCAGTGTCGGATTTTTGGTTTCTGAAAGTGACGAGAAGTCAAGATGCGAGAGGTCTTAACTTTCATAATTTATGCAGTAGCTTCGAGGCGAAACAGACAACCAGCTGAAGGTGCTCACTTTAATCTCATTGTTGATACCTTTATGTATCTACGCCTTTATAATATATGTCATAAAATCAGCCATATTTATTATTAGTGCTCTACATTAATACACATAAATAGATTTCTATGTTGATGAAATGAACAATGAGACACACACATATCAAACTATGAATTCACTCTTCAGCTGCAAGTTTCTTCTCACAGTCCTCTTTATGCTTCTGCAGTGACCTCACAGTAAGACTGAGCTTTCACTGTTTATTTTTTCTACTTTTGTATGTTTTTATTCTTTCTTCATATCATACCAGTGATTTTTGTCGTCCCCGGTGGCTTATTTGGCAACAAACTCGTGCTCATTTGTGATCCTAAAATATCAGCTGTTTAGGAATTTTTCACAACAAACACATCAGGAAAGCCATAAAATATAATTCCAAGTGTTTCTTTTTAAACTATCTGTTTGTGATTTGCTGCTATATTTCTGAGGAAGCTGTCTAACCTCTAGTTTCTCCACATCATTTTTTTTTTTTTCCTTTTCAAACAGCTTTTAATCTTCCCTGCTTCAGTGTGGGCAGACTAGTGCAGCGAGGACTGCCAATGAAAACACGCTTCCAAATGTCTTTTGTCATGCACCATTAAAGTAGCATTGTTGACAAAATAAATCAAAATACTCCCCCTCTTTCAACCTCGTTTTCTCTTCTTCTTTCCCTTCCCCTCTCCCCATCCTCCATCTCTTTCTACCTTTTCTTTGTCTTCCTACTATCCCCTTTTCTTTAATCCTACCATCCTTTTTTATTCTCTGTCACTGTTGCCCTGCCTCCGTCTTTTTCCCACTATTGTTTTGTGTGTTTCTCTACCTCTCATTACCTTTGCTCTCCATCTCTTTCTGCCTTCCTCCCGGTTTCAGGACGATCGCCTGCGGACGCCGCTGTTGAAGCTGAAGCTGGCGGTGTGCAGCGTGATGCCTGAGCAGATAGCAAAATATAACATGGACTGCATGGCCAAGGTTGCAAAGTAAGTGGATCCTAAAAAACCTACTATGGCACTTCATGTTGTTTTGTTTTGTTTGTTGATGAAGACCTCACCAATAGCACAAGTACCATGAATTAAGACCTTTGGAAGGATCAAAGGTAAATAGATTGATATATCTATAAAACAATATATTGGATTTATGTTGTAAACACAACCTATATCTCAGGAAAAGTGAAACGCATCATGCAAAAGTTTCCCAGCTGTGAAAACAAAAGATCTAAATCAGTGGTCCCCAACCACCGCTCCGCGGACCGGTACCGGGCTGTACAGAAAGAATAAAAACGTTTTATTGGTTTATTTTTATTTCCAGCGGAGTCTGCAGGGCGTTTTATTTTGAAAAATGACAAGCTCGACTTCCCATCACTTCCATTAGTGCTCGTTTCTGCACTTGATTGTCAGTTTTTATGCTAAACGAAGCCGTCAGTCAAACACAAACGTCTCAGGAGAGCTGCTTTGGGAAGTGGGAGAGACTCGATACTGAGACAGAAGAAAACGTAAACACAAGCAATTTTATTTATTTATGAAAACAATTATTTTTTGTTATGTGACCGATCTGTAGAAAAATTTCTTGCTTAAAACCAGTCTGTGGTGCAAAAAAGGTTGAAGACCGCTGATGTAAATTGTTCTGTGGACCATCTTGTCTTAATAAACTGGTCACTCAACACAGTTTTCAGAGCAAACCCTTTTTTGCTTTTGAGCCAGGTGTCTGCCCACTTATACAACCAACCTAAACTTTACCTTGTTATTGGCAGTAATGCTGTCACCCCAACATGTGACAAAACTTGGATAGAATACATTTAAAAGTGAATTAATGGCTTTAAAGTACTTAAGGGGGAAAAAAAACCCAGCCTGAACTCAACCTTTTCTAACCAGTTAAATTTTACATCAATATGAAGAATTATATATTTATAGGATGAATCATGTTCAGCCTTCTGATTTTGATAAGAGGTGATCATGGTCTTTGTCTTCTTTTTTATGAGATTAAGGTAATTTGATAAAAATGTAGTTAAGCTGCTTTTCCATTTACCTTCATCTGTTGCTGTGTGTGTGTGTGTCGTCCTGCAGGCAGCAGTCGGAGGAGGGAGATAAAAACGGCTCAGAGGAGGAGGATGAGGAGAAACCTGGGAAAAGAGTGATGGGTCCACGGAAGAAGTTTGTCTGGGATGACAAGCTCAGGTAATGATCCAAAACTGTCCTGTAGGAATAGCTTGGCTGGGTGCTCTGTAGTATGTTTGTGGTGCTGCAGGTTTGCTGCCGTCTCCTGGTTTGTTTTTCTCATCATGACTTCTTTTGTCTTCATCTCCCCCCGTTGTTCTCCACTGTCGGTGTCTAATCTAGCACACTAAACTCGTACAGGCCTTAAAGATTGTTCAGGAGGATCTCAAAAGGCCTGAAAAAAGGCAACCGAGTCATAAATATTGTTTTTAAGAGACCTTTTAAAGTTGCAGGAAAAAGCGCTGAATTTTTATTCCTGCATGAATGTGGTAACCCTGAGTAAAGAATCTGTGTCTGAGTAAAACGAGAAAAACCTTGAGAGTCTTTTATACTGTGATTATTACCTCTGACTCCCTGAAGCATATCATTATGTGCTCTACATCTGCAACCTAATTTAGACTTCAACATTGAATGATTTGTGTTGAATTTGTGTTTGTGCAGGAACCTGCTGTGCAGCTTGGTGCGAGTAAAGCTGAGCTGCTATGAGATGGAGAATCAGTGCTCTCTGTCTGTGGAGGACTACCTCAAGGCCTTCTTAGAGAATGAGGTCAAACCACTATGGCCTAAGGGCTGGATGCAGACCAGGTCTGTGTGTGTGTCTCTGTGTGTGTGTCTTTGTGCTTCTGTATGTCATACTGTAGCCTTTAAATTAGGGCTGCACGATTATGGCCTAAAGGATGTACAAATCTGCATCTAAATAGGCTAGTTGTTCTCCTGGATTCAGTGCATCGCCTAAATACAGATTATAAATAAAATTGTACCCAAAACACCTCGCTAGCTGAATGCTCACCTCATATGCAGGCTGAGAAAGATGGTTAGTAGCTAGAAGTAGGGATCGATCAATATGTTTGTTTTTTTCAGGGCCGATGTCGATTATTGGCAATCAAGAGAAGCCAATCACTGACATTTAGAACTGATGTTCATTAAATATTAGATATTAACAGCATGTGACGGCAGGGAGCCTGTCATTCATATCTAGGCTGCTTCATTAATAAGGATTACTATAGCTAATAAAAAAAGAAGTGATGACCTTGGTGTCACATGGTGCTTCAACGCTCCCCTTTGTTTACTGTGACCTCCATTGATGGGGATTGATCCGTATGTCTTCTGCGGTTACATCTGCGGTTCCTCTTCTATCACAGTAACGCCCATATCTTAAACCATTATCACTTATTGGTTTTTGTTTTAGGCTCATCTGTAGCTGTCTCCTTACGTAGCTGCTAGCGTAGCCTTAGTCTGTTAAAGCACTAACATCCAGATGTGTGGAGCTGCTGTGCTTTTTGTTAATTTTTTGCAAGCTAAGAGGCACAGGAAGCCTCTTGGCGATGGCTTTAGCCTACCACCGTCAGCAAAGGAAGTTTAGCTGCACTGACACCAACAAGTGAATTATTGGGGTGTTTTTTTTTCTTGTTTGTGGAAAACTGCAGTGTTTATTACAACTTCAGCAATATGTGCTACCCGACGCGGCTCCGGAGCTGCTCCACTCTGCCGATGAGCGGTCGAGCTCTAACTAGTGGACCCTCTAGTGTCCTCACTCTGTTATTGCTGTGCAGCAGCTCAGACAGCCGTGTGACCCGAAAAACTACTTAATAAGGCGTTCTAATGTCAGATTTACCCAAGCTGAAGCCTACTGATTATATCTACATGGCCTGGTTTCTATTAGTGGAGTATTTTAAACGTTCGTATCGCAGCTGATCAGAACATTATTCAGTCCTATCAGTTCCTGCAGCAACAAAACAACAACGTGGGGAAGCTCCTCCATGTTTCCCTGTTAGAGCGATGTTCGTCTTGTCCAATTCTTCCACCAGACAAATGACTGATCCAGGACCATTCATTCATTCATCCAGACAGTTCCAGTTCAGTCTCATCCATTCATAAATGAGACCCAGAACTCTGCAGACCCTTCCGTTCATTTGCTGCATATTTAGGTTGACTTTTATGTGGTTTTTGGACAGGATTTCAGTGCAGTGAGGTGTTTTTATCGCCCATACTGATACTTTTGCTCACTAATGATTCCCCTTGGTGAAATCTCGCCCATTCCAACCCTGGAAGGTTTGTTGCTGTAAACTTAAAACCATTTCCTCTTGGTGTAATGAAACCATTTCTTCTGCTAGCTTTTGAGACAACTCGTTTATCTTTTGTATGTTTGATGCTCAATTTGAACACCTGCACGGGCATAAATTACATCTGGATCAGAGCTGAAGCAAATTCAGTGTCGCTAAAGCTCCCAAAAGCTTAATTGTGTTTTACAGCAATTGGCTACACTTAGTTGCCAGTAAGTGAATGGAAAAAACAGCAATATTAGTCTGAGGATGAATAATTACGACATGGCGGTATTACAAAAAAACTGCAGCAGATTGCACATGTTCATTGTCAACAGACCCTTTTTCTACAGCAGCCATTTTGGCATGAACTGGGAGGTAAACACAGGTGTCATGAATCACATTAATGAATGGTCTTTTCTATTACGCACAGAGCCCTAATTATTGTCATTAGTAACACCTGTGTTTACCTCCTACTTCATGCCAAAGTGTGGCAAAAAAAAAATCAGTTTGTTTTTTGTCACACAGTTCATACAAATACAATTTATAAAAAAAAATCTGGATGATCGCATCGTGCTCTGCCACAACTCTGGCTGTTTCATTATTGCCTTGAAATAGCCAGTCAGTAAAAGTATGTGCACTTCCCATAAATACACACTAGCTGTCAATATCGACTGAAACTTTATTTAATTTGTAAATTTCTTCTACATGTACTGGGTCCACTGCTCCCACTAGTTTCCTGTTAGTGTCTGTGGAGGGCTTTAAACTGCAGCACTACACCTGTACGTTTCATTATCTGTTTGTACTCATTTGCATTTCAGGTCTTGCTTCCTACATGCCCAGCTGTATCCAGCTGCTGTAGCATGTACATTTATCTCATCTGATCTTCATGTCAGCGTCTGGGTACATACATGGCAGCGCTGGGCACACACAGTGAGCTTCTAAAATAACTTCAGGAAAACAATAAAACAGAAAAAAAATCAGCAAAGCCAACGTATCCATGTGGTCCCTGTACCGGCTGGCCTCCATGTTTCTGCAGACAGTCGGTCTCAGTCAGGACACCGTTTGGGATGGAAAACCTTCCTGTTTCCCTTCGTGTTTAAGGATCTGGGAAAGCGTGCACAAACACAACAACTACTTTCTCCACACTGTAGCTAAGTAGTCTGCACTTACAGAGCCTTTAGGGTTAGTGGCACTCAAAGCGCTTTACAGTGTTTCTCATTCACTTATTCACAGACACACATTCACACCAGCAGCAACTTGGGTCCAGTGTCTCTTGGACACTTGGGCTCAAACCACCAGCTTTGCGATTACAGGACGACCTGCTCTACCTGAGCCACAGCCGCCCTTTATATGTACAATATATTATCTGCAGGAAATATTTCAATAATAAGGAGGAAAATAGCTATCTGTTGATCAAACTAGATTCTGAATTTACTTGTCGAATGTAAAATAGCATTTAAACCCTGTAACTGTGAATAACTGTAAAGTTTCCTTTTATTAATTATTGATTAAAAATAAAATAAGACTCTTAAAATACATTACACAAATATTTCAAACTGTTCAACTGTTGAAGTTCAAGTTTAGTGCCGTAAACGTATTTATATGTATTTGTATTTTTCCTCACAGTGAACACCAGCTGTGTGTACATAATGTGTGACGTAGTTGAGATTTTTAGAGAGGAAATGATGCATGCTGGAAAATAAACATTACACATAACATTTTAATGGCAATTTAAATTAGTGCTAACATTGGCTACTTAGCAGAGTGAACAGTGTTTAGGTTTGTAAAAATATTGAAGAACATAGGTCTGTAAATGTATTACCCAACTCGTTAAGTTTCAACTACAGTCATTTGAAAGAATGTTTGAAAAGCAACGGTAACATAACAGGTGCTGAAACTGCAGCAAAAACAACAAAATCAGCGCCCACAGGTTTTGAATTTCTTGTCCTAAAACCCAACATGGGTGTGCTCATTTTGATTTCTGCCGTTCACACTGTTAATTGCTGTTTGTTTCAGGATTCTGTTCAAGGAAAGTCTCACCGTTCACAATCACCTCACTGGAAACCTGTAAGCATTGACTTTATCACAGCTCGTGTTTCTCCACTCACACAAACTACCCAGGTTGAATATCTGCTTGTATTTTTCTGTTCAGAGTCAAGAGGAGGATGGTGCCTGGACCCAAGGCCAAAGCCAAGGTGAGCAACAGCTCTGACTAAGTGCTGGATGTTCTTTAAAAAAAACACACAGCTGATTCTAACCAAAGAATGCTCTGTCATAAAACTGTACCTGCCTCATATCGTGTATTACAAGAATTGTAGTTTCACCAAATCTGAGGCTGATTGTATTTGTCTCAAGGGTCGTATATCTAAACTGGAGAGTTGTGTTTTTATTGTAATGTGTGTGGGAAAAAAAAGTATTTAAACAAAGCTTGCCCAAACAAATTCTACACTTACTGCCGAACAGAGTTAATTATAAATAAATTACCCATCTTAAATGCTGGTATGTTTAAACCTGAGATCAGAATTTCTGATGATTCAGGTCACTGACTGTGTCTCTTTTCTTCTTTAGGAGGGTCTTTGGATCCACAAGCCGCCTCTCACCATGACCTCCACTCCATCTCTGCCCACCTCCACATCCGTTCTGACGTCCAGCCGCCAGCCCCCCTCCTCGTCCTCGCCCTCGGAGCCCATCTGTCTGTCGGACTCCCTGGACGAGGACCTGACCGCTCCGTCTCTGGACTCCATCTCTCACGCTCTGGCCCTCCTCAGCAACGCATCCAAGGGCCTGGGCCCCTCGGACAGCCCCTTGTCGCCTCCTCCGCTGCAAATACCCACCTCTTCTCCTCCTCCCGTCGCTCCTCACTACCCCTCGGCCTCTCAGCTCTCCGCCTCGGTCGCATCAACGCAGCAACATTCCCTGTCGAAGGTGGAGAACGCTCCGCTGGCAGCTGCGTCTGCTGGGAACTTGCCAACATCCACAACGCTACCAACCTCCTCTTCTACCTCCTGTTCCTCGTCTCCGGTGGTCTCCTCCATGGCTCGTGTGCAGGCGGCAGGCCTGTCGTTGGCCTCCAGGACTGCAGATGGTCACTACGGCCCAATCAAAGGATCTGGCGCCATGGGCCAAACCCAGACTCAGAGACATGTTACCATGGCACTGCCCAATCACAGAACGACCTCTGTGATAGGCAAGATGCGTCCACACCCCTCCCCTTCGCCCCCAAAGCAGCGGCCTCCTCCCACAGCTTCCCCTCTGCTGCCTCCCCATCAGAAAGGCTTTGCCAGCCCAGTGGGGATACTGGGAGCTTTGGGAGCCACTCCAGGACTGACCAAGAGCAGTGCCAAATCCAGCGGCATCAGCAGCAACGGCAGCATCTTGAACAGCAACATCACACCTTCTTCCTCCCCCTCGCCTCAGTCCCGCTCCAACTCTACCTCCCACCACGGCCTGCAGTCCTTCTGCCCTCCCTCTCCTGCTGCCTCCTCACCATCCCCCACCTCCCACACCTCGCACACCTCCCACACCTCACACTCCTCTCAAGGTAAATCCCACACACACCACCACCACCAGCCCAACTTCATCACACCCATGCAGGCCACCCTCACCAAGTCCTCCCACAGCAGCAACTCGTCCCCCATCATCAAACTCACCCCTCGGCCTCCTGCACCCACCCCACCTCCCTCCTCCTCCCCCTCACCTTCATCCTCACCCTCACACCCGCTCCCCCATCAGATGATCCCCAGCCAACAGCAGCAGCACCAGTACTCTCCCAAAACCCCCAAGACTTTTCGGCCTCCCTTCAACGTCGGGCAGGTGAAGCAGACGCAGGGCGGCTGCAGCTTTGTCGGGGGGGCGAAACCTCAGTCCACCACTAGCAACAGTAGCATCAACAACAACTCCAACAACAAAGGAGTGGTATCAGCAGTCTGCAGTCATCCAGACAAAACTTCCCTGTCTCCTGCACCTTCAGTCTCAGCCAATCACGGGCAGAGGCAGAGGGTGGTGGGCGGGGCCAACCAGGGCTCAAAAGCAGGAAATGGTTGGGCGGCTTCAGGGACTTTGGCCACGTCCTCCACAACGTCACACCTCTCACAGGTTCGTTTTCACACAGAATGGTAGGAAAGAAAGTCAAAAGAGAGACAGTTCTGAATCAATGAAAGAGCAAACTCCCTAAGTGTGTGTATTTTTCTTTTTGTCTGCAGGTATCAAGCGCAGGCTCTCCACTCCTGGGCAGCCCCTCTGCTCTGCCCCTGGGCTTCGGGATGTTAGGAGGCCTCGTGCCCGTCTCGCTACCCTTCCAGTTTCCCTCATTGCTCAATTTCAGCCCTCCTGGAGCCCCAGGGGCAGCTGGCATGGGCTCAGCCCCCAGCTCCAACTCAGGATACCCGCTAGCACAGAGCGACCTAATGGGTGAGTGGGCACAAAGCTGCTTTTTTTTGGTTTATTTATTTTTAAAATATATGACAGGTAATATTTCATTTTGTCCTATTACTGACAAATCCAAAACATGTACCAAAACTAACCACGTGTGAGTCTGTCTGTCTCTCAGCTCCGTGTTTCCACTGTAGGTGTTGCACAACAGTTAGAAAGTGTCGAGCAATGACTGTTCTCAGTCGTGTATTTATACAAATTAGAGGCTTTACTGATTCATATCAGCGGGACAGGACAGAGTGGCTCATTGATGTTTTTAATCATGATTTGGGGGCAACAGTGAACCTCTGCAGCACAGAGGAATAAACTTCTGATTGCATATCTGTTAGTCAGATCAAGTCATTGTTCTTCTTGGTTATAGTTTATATTTGTATACAATAAGTAGTGTATAGAATATCCTCTAACCTCGAGCAGGTTTCAGACAGTTCCTGCTTTTGACACGTTTTTACTCCCTGTGGGCTCAGTTTTTTTTAACCACAATATAACGTTCTGAACGTCTATGGAAGCAACACAACCATAAATCATAAAAATCTGAATTTATTTATTTATTTATTTTTCATTTGTTGGCCTTTATAGCTTTTAAAAACTTGTTGCCCCCTGATATTTAGGTCAGTTTTGCTCAAAGTATCTCATTTTTATAGAGTTTTATTAGTAATTTTTATTAGTAATCACACACACTTGTGAAGCAGAGGCTGAACAGTTTTCATGCTTCCTCTCCTGCAGAACAAAAGAAACTCTGCTTCATACAAACCTAGTTTACTTAATACTGTGCAGACAGCCTGCTCTGGAGTAATTTGTAGAAATTGCACTTTAAATCACGACTGCAACAGTTGTCAGTAAAATAGCATTCAGATAATTTTCTCTAATTGCCCGATGTGAAGCGTTACTCCCAGAGGACGATAAACTGCGAATGAAACATCGGAGTTTAACTGAGAAATGGGACAAAAAAAAGTGATAAATGAGGCTCATTTACATAGTCATATTTTGTAAGTTCACCTTGCATATTTGTGTATATATAAATCTTCCTGCTGCGCTCCACATCTCTACTGCAACACCATCGCTCTGCTAACATACCGCCTCCCTCTTTTGTTTTTTTTGCCCATTCAAACCGCATGGCACGTGCTACATGCTACATGCTACATGCTACATGCCATATGCCACCTTGGTTGTTGTTTACATCCACCCCCCATCTGCTAACCCCACAACCGTGTGACATCATCCTCTTCTGTTACAACACGAGGCTCCTTCCATGATCTCCACAGGAAGAGGCTCTTCCCACTTTCACCTAGCAGACGTGTGGCAGCATCCTGCCCTGCCGTCCACTCACACAGCTCCTTATCTCACTGCAGAAGCTGTACACGTTTACAACTTCCACCACAGTTTCGAGCAGCTGCTGCAAACCGGGGATTAATAAAAACAATCATCTCCTATTTGCACACCTCGCTGCCACTTCATTCTGATCCCCGACTCTCCCGTTTTAACATCTCTCTGCGCCATCTTTTTCACGTTGCCCCCGATTGTTGTTGTTGTTGTTGTTGTTGTTGTTATCCCGCCTCTCATCTGTCCACCCTTCCCTCCATCTCTCCTCAGATCTGTATAAGAGTCTCCAGTCAGGGTCGCAGGCTGCCCTACCTCCTCACTTGCAGCTTGCTTTCTCAGGTAATCTGCATTCCTCCTCCTCCTCCTCCTCTTCGTCCTCCCTCTCTCTCTCTCCATCTGTCTACGTCAAGTCGACCTGTCGTCCTCTGCTAAGCTGCTCTGTTGTTTGTCCTCTGACTTTCTGCTTGCTTCAGTATATTTGGCGTTGGGCACGGTTCGACCTCTGCTGCTGTAGAAACATGTCGTAGAGCTGCTGCAGATCAATTGTTTTCCGGCGGCGTACTATTGAGGAGCCTGTTTTCTCCCGGCGACGTGCAGATGGTTCTTTGATTCGAGAGCAGCAGTCTGATTAACATGTGAAATCGCAATGTGTGACTTAGCTTCCTGAATTATGAAAAATTCAACACTTCTCCTGCTCATGCTGGCTCCTGTCTCTGGGACACACGGTTTAACATTCTGCCACATCAAAAAGTCTTCGTTTGACCCTCTTTAATGAACCGTTTTCCTCGTGTTGAACCTGTTGCAGCTGCTCGGCTCCTTCCTTGTGTTTAACCTCATCTGTGGCTGAAATCACGTGTATTTATAGCTGTAAGCAGAGACTTAAAGGTCAGAGTCCGATCTCACCAGGATTATTCGCGGCTCCGGGGTCAAAGAACCATCTGACCAGCTGAGACAGAAACTCAAACTCTGCCCGTCTTGTTTGATGAATAGTTGTTGCTGGTAAATCGTATAAAGTCCTGCAGCCTGTTGCACCGGTTCATGAACCTTAAATCTAACTCTGAATATTAGTTCCATCACTAGATGCAGAGTTCTATTTCTAGATCTCGGTGTAATTTAAATGCAGGGATGCTGTCTTTCTGCACACATTTCAGAAAGACGTTTTAATTTTCTCTATCTAGTAATCAGTAAACTGTGCCGCTGATTACTCATCTGGCACTTCAGAGATGCACTTTAATGCTTCTACTTTATGTCAAACGGCACTTTTTCACCTCTTCCAAATTCTTCTGGAAATTCTTTCTTCTTTTTTTAGAGCTATTTAACAAGACTTCACTCTTAAAAAAGAGGCTGTGTATGAATCTGAACCCTGTCCCCACCATGTATGAACTAAATCTGCAAACATGTCTGTCTTTTTCTAATCCTATTTTCATGATTCACTGTCTCTCGTATTCCTGTTTAATCGGGGCTGCACGACATTGGAAAAAAACTGTATTGAAATGTTGAGTTTTTCTGCGATGTACAAGTTGCAATATGACAAAATATTTCATCAGACAGTGTTAATAGCTATTTGCTGGTTTAAAGGGAGAGTTGTTCCTCTCCAGCTCAGCATCTGACGGACGTTGTGGGTTTTGCCTTTTCAGTGTTTCTCTCCTGCTCCTCGTTCATTTCGCTTTGTGGAGCCTGCATGTCAACAAACTCCATGTAAAAAACAAAACAACTGAAATCGGAGTAATTTATATTCCATCAGACTTTACTTGCAGATTACTCGTGGAAAAAGAAAACCAGCGTCTCCTCTTTTTGTATCAATCGGCTAAAAAAATGATGTGTTTGAGGTCATTTGCGATTTAAGTGTTGCCAAAGCGCCCATCACAATGTCAGGACGAGTAATTTGTGCAGCCTGATGTTTGAATATAAAGTTTTATTAGTTGTTACAAAATGTTGTGAAATTCATTATTTTGCCAAATATAAAAAGATCTATTTCATTCAGTGTAGAGAAGAAAGAAAATAAGAAAAGAAAGAAAATATGCAGTAGATGTGTAAGTTGTGGGCTGCAAGGTGGTGCAGTGGTCGCACTGTTGCCTCGCAGCAAGAAGGTCGCCGGTTTGTGTCCCGGTGAGGACACCCGGTGGAGTCTCCATGTTCTCCCCGTGCAGCGTGGGTTCTCTCCGGGTTCTCCGGCTTCCTCCCACAAGGTCCAAAAACATGTTGAGGTTAATTGGTGATTCTAAATTGTCCGTAGGTGTGAATGTGAGTGTGCTTGGTTGTCTGTCTCTAAGTGTAGCCCTGTGATAGACTGGTGACCTGTCCAGGGTGTCCCCTGCCTTCACCCTGAGTCAGCTGGGATAGGCTCCAGCCCCCCCGTGACCCTAGTGAGGATTAAGTGGTGTATAGATAATGGATGGATGGATGTGTAAGTTGGAAACCAGAGAATTTGCATCAATAAATGTCTCAAACAACAAATCTTTTTACCAAAATGCTGCTAAATATTCTTCTGATGGTTGACTAAAAGTCTTTCTGGACCACCTGAAGAAGCACGAAAAGTTGAAAACATTAACTGTTTAAGTGTTTAGGTGGTTTCTCAGACAACCACCATCACAGTAGTCCAGACATCTGGCCATTGTTTCTGCCAACAGAGGACAGAGTTCATTTAGATTGTTCTGCTCCGTAAAATTCCCATCAGTCACAATGCAATACTGACTTTTACTTTTTGCTCTGTTTTTGGTCTCCACCAGCTCTTTAATGAAACATCCGCCTCTAGCTGCTCAATGCTTCACTGCTTGTAGTCGTAGTAACAAAAATCAAGGCTTTAATGCTGTGAACTGGTGCTTCAGGCTGTTGGATCTCACACATGAAGTTTCATTTATCGTCGACTGTTTAAAAAAAAAACCTCCATCCTCTCCACGCAGATGCGAACCAAAGCCAGGGTGGAGACATGAAGAGGAAAACCCACTGACCAATAACAGCGCAGGAGACGACGCCAGCGGGGCGACATCACAGCCCGCTGGACGCGTCCACCAATAGGAATCTTCACTTTGACTGACAGGATGATGTGGTATGAGGGGGCGGGGCTCCACTGCCTCTTTTAAAAGAAAAAAAACAACAACGGACCTAAAAGAGAATCCTCGCTACAAGTGGCAATGATGAATTAATTTAACTGTCTTTTTTTTTTTTCTTTTTTCTAATGAACCGGGTATGAGAACAAGACGGCGCGAATGACGAGAACACTTATTTTTGTTCGGCTTATTTTATTTTTTTTTTTTGTCAACATGTTTACATATGACCGACCTTGATCACTGTGGAATGAGTGTGAGCGAGGTGGTGGTACAGATGAGAGTAGTAGTACGCTACATAATATAATTTGTATTTAAGCTTATGTGGAATAACAGGACTCTTGTTCTTTGCAGTACAAAAAAGAAAAAAAAAGAAAAACAGACTGAGTAATGATTTTTCGTTTTTCTGTCTTTCGTCTCAGATGTGGGAATTGTCGTGTCTGTAGAAGTTTATCGTTGGTCACCTCTGCTCCCACAAATGACTGTTAAGTAGTAGCTTAAATTAATATTGATAAATTATTTGTAATTTACACAGGGACAAAACACATGTTGTGCGTGCGAGTGGTGAGGTTGATTTGAATGCGTGTATGTATATAAAAAAAAAAAAACACAATATACTGTTAAATTCTTTCCAGATTATTATTATTATGACTGGGTAAGGATGCGTATCCCCCTTTCACAATAATGAGCAAGTGTAAGTTTGATGCCCCTCTCTTGCTCAGTGTGTTTTTTTGGTGCTGTTTAATCACACTGGACCTTTTCTGGGAAAACATAAAAAAAAAAAAAAAAAAAGACTTGAATTGAATAAAGTTCTGGGCTCCTCTTCTGGACAGAGGAAGCGCCTGTGAGAGAGGGGAGAATCGACAAGATTGTAGCCTACTTGAATTGTTTTTTTTGTTTTTATTCCTCTTTGTTTTTTTATTTTATTTTATTTTATTTTAAATGAATTAAGTTGTTTTTTTTTCTCTGCTTATTGACTCAAACCAACTTAATATAACAAAAACGCCTTAGTTTGTATTGAAAAAGTATGAAAAAGATCTATGCAGGACTGTAAAACGCTCAATGCAAAAGTGCAAGTCGTGGCTTGGCTTTCAACCTCTACTCAACTTGTCAGTGCATTTCTGGAGTTGTGAATGTTTGTAGATGCTGTTCTGTCACTCGAGACTCCTTTGTGTTTTTTTTCCGATGTGTGTTCAGACAGAAAGCGGAGTGAGTTTTAGACGCAGCGCAAAGGCAGCGACAACAGAATAAAGCTATTTATTGCAATTGGCCTGAAGCATGTCTGTGCACAGGAAGTGTTTCACAATAAAGGTTTTAAAAAAACAAAACAACAACTTCTGATTTAGGAGTGTTCACATGTTTTTAAGAAGAGGTTAGCTTTGTGCTGATCTGACCAAATAAACCGCACAAATGAGCTACAAGTTGTCGTGTTACACATTTCTAGAAGTTTCTTCTAACGTGAAAGCAAATGCAGATTCTAGTTCTTACAAAACATCCCTCAGTTTGATTTTATTGGTATTAAAATTCTTGTATTTGCAGCCGATTATTTGCAAACACTTGCAAATATTCGTGTGCTGCGTTCAAGTGTTGTCATTTAAGCGGGAATTGGGAACTTTTATGGGAGTTATGCACTGTTTGTTTTTGGTTTTATAAACTTATATAAATACAAAAAACAGACACACACTTAAAAAAAAAGCTCATTTAGGCTGTTTATCTGGTTTGACTACAAGGTTAGCATGCAGGCTAACCACACCGGAACAATGCTTCAAAGCCAAAGCAACGCTGTGTCCTCAGTGTACCGATTGTGTATTTAAACAAGTCTTTATAAATCTATTTCTGTCCCAATTAATCTAGATTAAAAGAAAAGGGTCACAGGGTCAAACACATCCACTCTGCTGCTGCTGCTGCTGTTAGCCGTTTAGCTTAACCTTTGTACAGGCGGCTACACAAACAGCCCGCTTGTCAACTAAACGCTGCAGAGCTAAAACTGACTTCAGCGCGTCTGAACACCGGTAGAGAAACCTTCCTTCAGCTGAATACCTCCGTTAACAAAACTGTTCTTCCTGAGTCTCTCTGTCCTCCGCAGACTAGTTCCCGCCCTCCTCCATGTGCGTCTGGCTGACCGGCTGCACCGAGAACGACGCCAAAGATTGTTCTGTAGCTCCTCACGATGGGGTGCTGCTGGTTAGAGTGTGTGTGGGTTTTTATTTTATTTTATTTTTTTTGGTGAGACTATTCCCACATTTACCCCCAAAATGTAAACCCCATGCGTGTCTGCGTGGTCCTTCGGGATGTCATTGTGAAGTCATGTGACTGGAGCAGTGGGTGACATCTTATACATTGTGCTTTCTTTGGGGGTGGGGTGGGGAGGGGGGGAGATTAAAAATGTCATTTCGTGGTTATCTGGTTACTTAATTTGGTCTTTTGTAGATTATTTTTCTGTGTCTATTATGAAATTAAACAAAACAGGTGGTTTTCACAATGTCTCCAACAGTTTTTTTTGTCTTCAGAGCTGCAGTGTTTGAGCTTGTTGTTGGATTAAGCGGCATGTTTTAACATCAGCCTCATGCTTCATCTACGCAGGGGCGCCTCCAAGGGGGCACCAGAGGGCCGACAGCGACCCCAGAGCTCATAAGTCGACTT